GCGAGGGCAGAGAACAATAGGACCTCTACAGGAAGGGGGAGGTAGCCCTTGGGGGGGCGGGGAGAAGGACCTGGAACTCTCCCGATGTACGTTTGCCATGAGCGTTAGCCCATGCTACTGACAAAATGCTAACAAACACCCACAGATACCGGCTGGGCTCGGAAGCCCGTTTCACTCCTCGCGAAGCGTGCCCTTTGGCGACTCGAGTCGGACAGATATGCGCTAACAACGCCCTGCCCTCTTCGACCTCGGTACACAGCTCCCAGGCTACTATCAAGAGAAGGACCCCCGGCACATGGCCTACCCTGTGCTCGAGATTCTCCGAGCGGAAGCGTGGGAGAAGTTTGTTGCGATGGAGATGTTTCTTTGTTAAGGTAAACGGCGCTCGGCGTTCGGCTCCAACCCTTTTTTTTTGGCTTTGCCATCTAACAAATTCGCAGACCGCAGATTTCTTATACATCATTCCTACGATCCAGCATCTTCGCAACGTAAAGCTTACCTTGACATACTGTGAGCTTCCGGAGAATGAACAGCAGTCCATAATCTGGACGCCTCGCCAGAAGTGGAAGCACGATCCCGATACCGACGGCCCCCGCGGGTTTGCGCCGAGCAACAAACATTACGTCAATGGCGAACTCGTCTCCGAAGGTAGATCGAACCTAAGGGAGGCTAGCACATCGCCTTTCCCGAGACAGCGGATTGCCCGCCGCGGCCTTGTCGCAGTTCTCCGCGAGAATCTGGCCTTCACCAGGGTCACGGAAGAGCAACGCAGCTACGACGAGCCGATGGTTGATGTCGAATCGTCAGTGCTGCCTAACGGGGTGCACACATCTCCCACGGCCGCTCGCGTGCAAGAACACAACAACGGGATCACCCGTACACAGTGACATCCTCCTCGACCTCAAACGGAAACGCCCAGGAATGCCTCATGGCCTAATCTGGTGCTCGGAAGGATAGGGTCTTCTTCGGAAGCCACCAATGCCCATCCACCCCCACAAGATTCGTTGCGCTTTCAAAGTACAAAATCGGCGTTGCGGCTGGCTGGGGACGTTGATTCGGATCACTGACGTTGATTCGGATCAATGGCGCAGTGACTTCAATTTATTAGCGAATCCTACCAAAATGAAAGTCCTGTTTGTATTTTACCAGCCCCACCTACCGCACCCCTTTTCTTCAGGCAATTTTTCAGCATTCATTTTCTACTGCATTTTCGATTCCGCAATGGGTTTCCGTCACCATTCGACCTCGAAGAACACCTTTCGCCACGAGTCACTTATCACCCAACATCTCTCGGATTACACTTCTCCGGTACTACACATCCTTGGTACACAATGAAAGCGACGGCGCGCGGTGGCTCACCAAGATTGTCGTTTACCCTTCGTTGTTAGTCTCGAGCCCCAACTACACAGGGCCGAGACACCATCATCACGAAACAACTGAACCTGGATTCTTGTTGAGTTTGATTAGGAACTACGCAAAGGGAATCCCCACGGTTGTGCTGAGACAGAGGTACGCCTGCGAATTTCCCAACTGGACCGCAGCAACAGGTTCAACAGGGTCTTGATTACCCGCCTTATCGCCCCCCTTCTATGGGGCTTCGCCACCATCATACCCAGGCCCGGGTTCAAGGTACAATTGCGTACCTCCGGGCCAACCGTATCCCATAGTTCGAGGTCGATACCTGCCGATTCCGCGGTATGAGCAAAACTTCCGGCTAGCGCGCGTTACCATCTTCATCGACACGCTTCCCAAGGGCGCGCTCATGATGCATTCAACCATCACACCAAAAACATAAAGACCAAGCCGCCAAAGCGGCAACCACCAAAAGAACGATTTAGCTGTTTTGGAACGCTTTGTCGAAACGAACGGCTTTAACGGCCAGTCAATTCCATACGTTGGGCTTCCTACAGCTACAGGCCTCGGCCTTGAAGTTTCCGAAGCCACTGCATTGTCGGGGCGCAGTTGGACACAACTTCAAGTTACCGCGTGCTTGGTGTTACAGTCTGACGGTCATTCCCGACCGTCAGGGCACCGTGCCGCAGGCGGCCGTTCCTGACCGCCCCTGGGTCCAAGAGAGACTATGAAGACGCCGAGCGAGGCTGGCATCACCACCACGAGATCTTGCCAACCCTATGCCAGATCTTTGAAGGCGACGGTGGCGCCGGGCCACGTTCACGAGCTCGCGTCCCACCAGTATGGCTGCCGCGTTGAGCAAAGGGTGTGAGGTACTAAAGACTTCACCCCGATTACTGAGACAGAAGATTGTTTAGAATTAGATAGAGGAATGATTGGCCATTAGTTTGCAATTTGAATCATCAAATTGAATCATCAAATTTGGGTCTATTTTACTAGTGTTGTTGGTTATGGAAGTTTGGTGTGGTCGGTTTGTGAGTCTCAACTACGACAAGACCCTCACCACGACTGCGGCAAAGCCATTACTCCACCTCCACCGGGGTTACAAACTGCAGTCAGCCAAACCAACTACAATAACCAGAGCCAAACGAGTACCAAAATCAGTAATTTATTGAACTGTCCCCCGTTTCCAGGCACAGCTGCAGCCGCTAGACATACCGTAGGCCAAGTGCAAAAGCCGGGTCCTGAATATTCTGATCTGGCCAGGACTCGATCGAATCTTCTCAGGGCCAGATTGGTGTTTCGGGAGTTCTCATACGCCTCCCATTGACAATTGACATCAAATTGCGGGGCAGCCGTTTGCCCCTGGCCCGCCCTCAGATACTTGGAATTTCGCCCCACCATCAAAATTCCCACTCTTGCACTTCGAACAACTCGACAACACCATCCCACCCGCTTGTTTCCATCACCGCCTCCCAGCGCAACGAGAGCTTTTTGAAGGGCAATACTAGCAAAATACCGCAATCATGTCGACCACAGTGGAGAAGGTATGTTTAACCTGTCCACCCCACTCTGAGAGATCATTCGACGCCGGAGAACTGACGAGCAATGCAATAATAGATCAAGGAGATCGAGACCGAAGTACGTCTACCCGCCCCCCATGCCGACTCACGATAACCCGAATTCTAACCGCCCCCTCTCTCCCCACCCTCAACAGATGGCTCGGACTCAAAAAAACAAAGCCACTTCGTACCACATCGGCCAACTCAAAGCCAAACTCGCCAAGCTCAAGCGCGAACTCCTCACCCCGTCGAGCGGCGGCGGCGGCGGCGGTGCGGGGTTCGACGTTGCCCGCACGGGCGTCGCCAGTGTTGGCTTCATCGGCTTCCCCTCCGTCGGAAAGAGCACCCTCATGAGCCGTCTGACCGGCCAGCACTCCGAGGCCGCCGCCTACGAGTTCACCACCCTGACCAGCGTGCCGGGCCAGGTCATGTACAACGGCGCCCCGCTGCAGATGATCGATCTGCCCGGTATTATTGAGGGCGCCAAGGATGGTCGTGGCCGTGGCCGGCAGGTCATTGCCGTTGCCAAGACGTGCCATCTGATCTTTATTGTGCTGGACGTCAACAAGCCGTTGACGGATAAGAGGGTTATCGAGGCTGAGCTGGAGGGGTTTGGTATCCGGATTAACAAGGGGCCGCCGAACATCACGTTCAAGAAGAAGGATAAGGGCGGGCTGAACATCACCAGCACGGTGCCCCTGACGCACATCGACCATGACGAGATCAGGGCGGTCATGAGCGAGTGAGTGGACCCTTTGCCGGCGACTGGGTGAGTGGGTTGATGTTGACAAAATGGCAGGTACAAGATCAGCTCGGCAGATATTGCCATTCGCTGCGACGCCACCATCGACGACCTGATTGACATCCTTGAGGCGAAAAGCCGAAGCTACATCCCGGTTATCTACGTGCTCAACAAGATCGACAGCATCAGCATCGAGGAGCTCGACCTGCTTTACCGCATCCCCAACTCGGTACCCATCAGCTCGGAGCACGGGTGGAACGTTGACGAGTTGATGGAGGCCATGTGGGAGAAGTTGAATCTTGTCCGGGTGTACACCAAGCCCAAGGGCAAGATGCCCGACTACTCGTCGCCGGTAGTGTTGCGCTCAAACAAGTGCACGGTCGAGGACTTCGTAAGCCCCATTTCCCCAACCCCTGAATGAAGCCGGAAAGTTAATGCCCTGCAGTGTAACTCCATTCATAAGACCATCGTCGAACAGTTCAAGTCGGCTGTCGTTTACGGCAAGTCGGTCAAGCACCAACCCCAACGAGTTGGTCTTGCCCACGAGTTGGCGGATGAGGATATCGGTATGTGATCACAATGGTGGTAATTCAGGTGGGGGAAGGAACCGAATACTAATCGCGTTACTTTAGTCACAATCGTCAAGCGCTAAGATGTTGCTCTTGAACGGCGAGTATCACAGTTGGTCGGGTCAAGGAGTGCCGCGTGCGACACCATGACTGGGCAAGCTCAGCCAACCTACAAGACGCCGAGCCCCGTACCTGATGAACAAGGCTGGCGGGCGGCAGTCGGGTATGACGAGCCGTGCCAGCCGCCGGTACACCTTGAAGGGGTGGTTCCCTTCTCGCCTGCACCACTGTGGGCTGGCTGACGGCGGGTTCTGGGGGATAACCCCTATTGATGGTTGGGCCCCTCGTGTCTCAAGCGTTCAAGCGGGGGCGGCTATAGAGTCTATGGGAAGGGGATTAGGCGCTGAGGACGGAGACACAAAAGTTGGAAGTTTATGATGGACGCCCGCCATGATACCATTTTCTATTCCACGTATGGCATGACGATACTTGGGCATATACCGGTTATATAGGATTAACTGAGAATGGGCACGTTTACGATACTCCAAAGTCCCGCTGAATAAAGCACCCGGTCTTTCTCACACGACATTCCGCAGCGTTCTCTTGGAAGCGGAATGCCCATTGTCACCACTTATATACCCCCTCTACGCGATCCATCCGAGACATGCCACCATTGCCATGACGTACTCATCTTTTCTTGTCTTACTCAAATTCATCCTTCGTTGGCAGATCAATGGAGTGCTCATAAACTTACCCAAACTCCCATAGCCCAAACCAAACCAACAACCCACCTAGTAACCCCCTCCTCTTTACGCTCCGCCACGCAACACAACACCCACTACAACAGTACCATGCGTGCCAGCCAACACCGCAACAACAACCCCAAAAGGGAAACTCCCAACTCCCCATCTACCGGCAGCCGGGGGGCAGCAGGAAGGGAAGGAGGGCGGATCACACCGGTTGTTACACGCAAGGCTGAACCGGGGGGGGGCGGGGGGGGGGGGAGGAGGAAGGCTCCTGTGTACATACATCCGCTACAGAAGCAGCAGCGGCAGAGGCAGAGGCAGAGCAGGGAAGACAGGTAGGCAGGCAGGCAGCGGAGAAGGGAGACAGAGGCAGAGAAGGCCGGCGCTTAAAAAAAAATAACACCAACGCATGTATAGCCATGCATTCTACATAGTACACAGCAGAAAACCGCACTTTTAACCCACACCCACCACCAACACACCGGCTTCGGCTTCGGCTTTTGGCCTCCCCCCCGCCCCTCCCACTGGACTGCCCTGGGCTGGGCTGGGTCTGGGCCTGGGCTTGGTTTGGTTGGGGCCGGGTCTGAGTCGGTCGGGCTTGGAGATATGCGGCCGTGTTTCAGTCCCGCCAACCCGAGAGAGAGAGAGAGAGAGAGAGAGAGAGCCAAAAAAAAAGGCGTTACCGGTACTTGGGGTAGTTTGGGCATGTACATAGGTAGTTATCTGTTACTGGCTGCCTGCTGTGTCGGGTGGGTGCGCGATCGGGGGCTGGCTCTCTCTCGGGGCGTACACGGGTTGATTCAGTGATCCATGGGGCGATAGGTCCGCCGAGAGAGAGTAAGAGAGACATACATGCATACCTATATCATCAGTCAGCGGTCCCGAGCTCGGTCCCGTTGCGTGTAAGTGGTCGGTTGGGTTGTGTGGGTTTGACATAGGTGAAGCAGCGGGGTGTTGGATAGGTCGATCGGCGATAAGCCAGACGCGGATGCGGCGCAATGCAATGCAAATGACATATGGCTTTTTTTACTGGTAACGTGCTATGTGAAACAAACCCCAAAATGCTGGGATCGCGGAAGAGGACACCATGGTGTTGACAAATCGGTCAGGCTTTGCATGGCGCTGATCCGGAGGTGAGACGGCATTCCAAGATTGGGTAGCAATAAGGAGAGAATTGGCCCTTGCATCCTGCATGCTGCGGGAGCACAAGAGGTCGGTTCCGATGAGAGTTCAGATGAAATGCATTGGGAGGAGGAGGGCGGGGGGTAGTAGCCTCATCAGCCCTTCTCACACAGACATTCATGCGCAAGATGGGGAGCAGCATTGTGAAATCCGGGTAGCGAGCGGGATGATCTGCACGGCCTCGAATTGCCCAAGCACGTTTCTCGCCAGGTCTTCGCGGGTTTCTCAATACGGAATGCCTGGGGAGCTCGGTGCCTGTGCCGCTCCTCTTGGCCGCACACCAGCCGGTTTGGTGTGGTGTCAGTCAAATCTTTGCAGTCACCTTGTGCTTTGCCGCCGAGTCCCCTCACTAAGGGGGCCAAAAACAGGTGGGGGGAGAGGGTAGCTAGTTGGCGTAGTTATTCAGGGTTCTCCAGTATCTTATGCTGGAACACGCCATCAAACGGCCAACAGAGGTCATCGCGGCCGGCAGTCACTGTGGTATCAATCCGGATCAGGAGGTCGGGGGCTGAGGGCGAGAGGCCGAAGATTCGGCCGAAGCTGGGCGTCACCCATGCTCTCTGCCACTGGCGGGAGTCAGTTGGGAGCGACTGCGGCGGCTATTGGCGATGAGCGTGTAGCCGCAGCTCGAACGCCAGAGGGCTGCATCTCTGTTGGTTCCAGGTTGTGTCTCTTGACCAGCCGCGGCCGTCAGCGGCGGATGATATCAACAGTTGCGGAGTTGGCCCGGGGAAGGAAGCCGTCGAAAGCTGGTGCCAAGTTTGTCTGGTCTTGGAGGCGAAGTTGAGACGGACCGGGCCCTCATCGCCAGAGCCCCTGACATGATGCAACCTCATGATGCCCTCCGCGTCGTTGCTAAAGCCCAGAAGGGCAAGCAGGGGGCTCCGAACTGGGAACGAACCGCGCAAACGCTGCGGCCCAGACGGCCATCGGTGGGGTAGATGGTCAAGAAAAGTCACAAAGTCTCAACCAACAAACCGAGAAGGGTCGTGGGGATCCACATTCAAGGACGGTGATGATTGATGAGCGCCAGTCTGACGGGCGTGACGGGCGTGACGGCACTGACGGCAGTGATGGGGCAGAAAAGAGAAAACGGTCGGGAGATCAAGCAAGATCTCGCCCTGATGGTGGATCGGGCGTGGTGTCTTTGCGGGGCTCGGTAGCTGATCGCCGAGTGGACTTGCTCCACCTTCTTTGCCGGCTGCTGACTGGGAGATTTGTCGTCAAAGCTTGATAAATTTTGATGATGCCGATGGAGTCGTGGAGTCGTGGAGTCGTGGTGGTTTTGGATTTATCCTCCGATGCACCGATGCGCTGATGCACCGATGCACCGATGCACCGATGGTCAATTGACCTTTGATTAATTAACTGCCAAACTGCCCGAGTTTGTTTGGGCCATGTGGATGATGAACTGATGGACCCGGTTCCTGGTTGAGCCGGACTGAGAGAGTCTGTGTGCCTCGGTGACAAACATCGTCTCTGACAACAACAAACATCTCCGAACCACGCTTCAAGCTGAACAAATAAAGCTGCTCCCCGGGCCGCATTCCCAGCTGAAACCCGGCAATGTCGTGAATCCGTCGCCTACCTGCCTGCCTGCGTCAATATCTCGATCTGTGGAATCCTGCCGCGCGAGCCATCTGTGCCATCCTCCCCATCCACGCACGCTCCTAAGTCAGTCCCTCCCTCCACATCTTGGCCAAGCTGTCGAGAAAATCAATTACGAAGCAGCTTAGCCAGTGGGATGCCAGGCCGGCACCTGCTTGCTTGGGCCCCTGTGTCTTAGAGAACCACCATTTTCTGCCCAATGGTGGGGGCAGGAGCTCGGAAATTATGTCCAATGACGGGCTCAGGCTGGCTTTCTTCATCGCCGTTGGATGGTCTCGGACACGGTCCGCAAGCAACCCTCCCCGGGAAGTTGGTGTTGAGAAGAGAGGCACGCACGCACCGCAACACCCTGGTTCCCTGGAGGCAATTGCAACCTAGATCGCATCCCCTGTCAAAGATGACCGCCCCCCAAGATTGCATCGTCCGTCACGTTGTCGCGACCGTTTTGTCAGATCTTTTTGAGGGTCCTTCTGGATCATCGTATCTTGGCGTGGCTTGATTGCTAACTAGGGAATGAACTTATTCAGACAGACAGACGCACCTTTGTCACACCTTGGGAGTCGCGGCTGCGCTGATGATGCACTTACTAACCAATTCGGAGAGCTGGGAACTGGGCAGGGCAGGGCAGGGCAAGGTCAGGTCCGGTGTGGTGCGGTTTCATGCAACCATGTCTCTGTTCGATGCGAACCCGGCGTTAGGCCAATTGGGTCGGCAATCAGAAAATATGCGTTTCCCTGTGTCAGCCGTTCGAGAACTGATAAAAAGAAAAAGGTGTGCGGCGGGTCGAGCGGTTCCTCTGCCGAGCCGCGGGATTACGGATTAACCATCGACAATTGACTATCGAGCCGGTTTAAGCGATCCTCACCTTAACTAACTTGAAGAGTGTCCGGCAGGCCACGGCTGAGCTCCCAGGGGCGCTGGTTCCAATTGGTTTCGGGATTCTTTCGTGTGATTGCGGGCCGACGCGGATGAGCAGCTCTGTGGGCTTCCCATCACCAACACTCGATAAACGCGGTCGATCGCATGGGCGCCATGCCATGCCGCTGCCAAAAACGGCCCGCGAGACAGACGCTTTCCCCAGAAGAAGGCCGCAGGGCAGGCCCGTTATGCGGCCGGGCAGTCCTTGCACCAGACGCATCCTTGTGGGGTCCCCCGGGTACCTGGGCGGACCTGCCCGAACTTGATGGCAAGCGCGGCCCCACCGAACCTGAACTGATGAAGATGGAGCTCGAGGTTTTTTCACTCAGCTTGTTTCATTCTACAACCAAATCGAGGAGGGCAGCCTCAACTTCAAGGTTAGTTTGATAAGTGATGGCCCTTCTTTCACGAAACAGCATCGATTCCCCCCGCCCACCCCAACACTATCGGCAACCAATTCGGAATTATTGAAGGATCTTCGAAAGTGCAGACCGCCGCCGAGACCTAAAGTGCTGCTGTGGGGAGCGTGTCGCTGCCATGGAAAGGTACTCGGAATAATGCGGATTTGCAGTTCTGCAGCTACCCGTCGCTGCCGAACGTGGATGGGCTCAGTACCTGGTGGGCGGTGCAGTGCCGCATTTAACAGGTTGTGTTCACGGCAGCCGCGAGGGGCGACCACCGTGTGTGTAAGTGGTAGTGCAGGCGGGAAGGTGTGCGATGGGTGGGCCGGGCCTGCGACTGCCATTTTTGGCCTTCACATTTATTGCCCGGAAGCTCCGAAGATGAGCCTGATGAAAGCAGCCGCGAACTTAAATCCCTCTTTTTTGATAACGTCTATGGAAAGACGGGATGGTGAGGGAATGGGACCGGGGCATGGTATGTACAGGACTGGGCTACGAATAATGTGGAACGAATTTGCCAGTCAGCTCCCGCGTTTCGACAGAGCTTGCGAATAACGGCGCCAGAAAAGCCTCAACGTTGCTTTTTGCCCCGTCGAGACAAGCCGGGGACGGCACGTACCGTTTTCGACCTTGGGAGACCCATCGAGGAGCACTTGGCACACAGTCCGGGATCTTGCTCGACACTAATACTCCGGGATCACTGACTGACCTGACCACGGGCAGGGCCCGCGCACCGCACTCCACGGCTGCTGCTGCCCAGCCCAGCAACGTGAAAGTGAGGGACTGGACGTCACGGGCTGCTCCTTCCACGCTAGCACAGCGTGCTCTTTCCATTCAAGCCCACTAGCAGCCTGGCTCGGAGTCTCGGAGGTTCTCATCGTAGTTTTCTCTCGCCTTTTTTGGAAGCCCCGGCCCACTCCAAGTGCAAGTGCGTTCCCCTTCATCCACCAGAGCTCTTGGACTGTGCAGTCATCAGCGCAGTTGCTGCCTCCTCTTTTCAGACAGACCCCTGCTCTCCATCCACACTGGCTCAACTGGCTCGAGTGGCTCCTTCCTGGCTGGCCCGACCTACCTGGTTGTCCCACCCCCGGCTCCCGCACGCCTCTTGATTTTCTTTCCTGGACGCCCCCCACCCACCTCACACCCTCCCGTTCCGCTGCTGGCCCCGGGCAGTCTGGCAGTCCAATGCTTGCGACCTGTGCCCTCCCACGGCCAGGACCCTGGAACCCCTGCCGGGAGATGCACACACACTGCATTCAGCAGGCCGTCTTCCCTGACATACATATGCCGCTCGGGGCAGGTTCTCCTCCACCAAATGCATGCCCTGCCTGCCCTGCTCTCCTCCATGCACGTCTGACTTATCTCGTACCAGACCAGCAACCCCAGAGGTCGAACTGCATCTGCGGCGCCAGCGTTGCAGCCCTCTGCCGTTCTGTCACTGGGTAGATCGCTTTTTGTTTGCTCCCGACCGCATCATCGCCCCCGTCGCCGAGCCAAGCTCAGCTACAGATCATCTACCTTTTACCAGGCTTCCCCTTCCCGGTTTTGGCTCTGCTCCATCTCCATGCTGTCGGCGCCGCCCAGTTCCGTTCCTCGTTCTGCACGAATTGGATATTCGACCCGGATGGGACTCTTCGCAAGCCACCAAGGTTCTAACAGAACTCTTCTGGCGTGAAGAAAGAAAAAAAAGGGCATTTTTTTATTATTATCTTTTCCACGCCGGCCCTGCCATCTTACCCCGTCAGTCTGACAGAACAGCCCGAACGCGGCCACCCGCACTCCTCCCGCCTAACTACCACCTCGACGAGAGACACCTGCCGAACGGCCAACCCCCACCGACGTCGTTGCAGCCGCTACCTTACCTTGGGGATTGTGTTACTCCGCATCCGGCTGCCCCCCGACTTGCAACCTCGCTGACGGCTCGACCGCTGCATGTCCGATCCAAGGGGCCAATTGGTGTCCGGCACCCCCCCTACCATGCATGTCGTCTCCTGAGTCCTGTCTTGTCCATCCCTTCCGGACGAGCTGATCCCCACAAACTGCAAGACTCTGCGTGTGGCCCCTCACGTCTTGTGGCTCTTACACGGCACCAATCCCAACGACCAGAGGAACGGCCCTCTCTACCTGCCCCCATTCACCCATCCGGTCCGGTTTCGTCTAAAGCAGACGAAGCCCCCCGTCACCATGCACAACCAGATCACAGCCTCGGCGGGCATGGACCAAGAGAGCCATCTTTCACACGACAACGCCTATGGTAACGAGAGCTGGGTCGACATGAACTCCTTTCATCACCAAACAACCATGGCGGACTACGGAGGTGGTGGGTATGGCTTCATGCCTCCCATCACCCACGGTCTGCCCTCGGAATCCCTCGGCAGGATGCCACCACCGCCACCTCCACAACCCATCCATCAGTCCCCCGCGACTCACACACAGCTCCCCATGCTCATGATGCCGCACGCGCATGCTCCGTGGCCGAGTATGTTGACGAACCCGAACAGCTTTGGGCCGCCGCATTCTGCTCCGCCTGTTCCCATTCCCTCCATCACAGCGCCTCTTAAGACATCCAAGTTACCTGCGATTCAGACTACATCACAGCCAAGGAAGACTCTCACGGACGAAAACCGCCGGGAGATGTGCCAGTATGCCGAGGACCACCCGACCGCAAAGCAAACCGATATCGGCGCCCGGTTTGGCGTTGAGAGGAGGTAAGATCGCAGAGCGCCCTTATCCACGGCCTCCCCGCCGGTTCTAACATTGTTGCTAGTACCGTATCCAAGGTCTTGCGGAACAAGGACAAGTACTTGAACTCGGAGGAGCGGAGTAGTTCTCCGGTGAAGCGCACCGGCAAGGGGAAAGGGGCCAACGTCGAGAAAGCGCTAGCGAACTATCTCCAGAAAGCGAAAAAGAATGGCATTGTGGTCACGAGAGAGGCGCTCAAGGAGAGGGCGCTCGCATTCACGTCTCTGGCCTCGGGTGACTCTCTTCTCGAGTTCACTAGCACGTCTTGGCTGGACAAGTTCATGTCAAAACATGGCATCGGCTCCAGCAGATTGATACGTCGCGCGTCCGAAACCAACATCCCGGACAGTATGCGCACCTCCGGTTCACCGTCGCTAGCACCGTCCCAGCCACATAGCGCCATTTCGCCCGCTTCCCCTTCAGGCCACCTCTCCCCATCCCCGCTGTCGGCGAACAAGAGCGACGAGGAGAAAGAGAACCTCAACAGCTTCATGGGCTTTGCGGCAGACGGCGCTTACAGGAATACAACCTCGCAGAGCACGGCGTCTCTGTCTAGTGCTTTTACCGACGCGGCAACACCATCCTTCTCCGGCAGCGCGATAAGCCCTACAGCCTCGTTCAACTTTTCTCCAGATGCTAACGTGGGGGCTTTCCTCACCGGAGACCGTGGCGGACATCTGCCGCCCCATGGAGCCGGCTTTCAGCGACCGCGGAGCCAAACCTTCCCCACTCTGGACCTCGAATACATGAACCAACCACAACCAACGGAACCCGCGACTCCAAAATACCACGTCCCGTCCACCGCGCCGTCTTCGGCCCTCGAGAGTAACGGGCCCAACTTCAGCTTCGACCAGGCAGTTTCCCCGCCCCAGCTTCGCCACAGCAGCAGCAACAGCAGCATCACACGATCAGCGACAACGCCGGTCACCTGCAGTGCCGTCGGTTCGTCTCCTGGCTCTCCAACGCAGGAGGACGCACGGAGAGCTGCAGACACCTTGCTGTCATTCATCACGAGTGCCAGCGGATTCGTGGACCAAAACGAGTACATGGCTGTGGTGAGGTTGACGGAGAAGCTCCGCCTCCACCAAACCCAACTCGCCAAGGCTGCGGCACACGGGATGGGAGGACTGTCACGAATCCCCGAAGGTGATAGCGAGATGCCAAACGCGCCGCCTAGCATGATGAAGGTGGAGGCATCCATGAGCGGGTAGATGGGAAATCCTATCTCTTCACTTCAAATTCCGAAAAAGCTAGGGCGACGACCAGGACGACCCGCCACGAAGCCGACCCGACCGTTCTCTGTTCTCGAAATAAAACGAAAATACATATATAACAACCTATACGCCGCACGATATACCCTTTTACGCGATTAAAACTTCCTTATACCCAGTTTTTGGCGTTGCCGAATATACATCGATATCGCTCCCTTACCGGAAGAAACAAACGCTCACGCGACTCCCCGTCCGGAAACTCCTTCACTTTTTCGCATTGATTTTGTCTTTTTTGGGGGGGTCTCATCTTTCCCTATCCTTTCTGGGGCTTAGTCCCTTTTTCTTTGGCTGTACTTCGACGGTCGTCCGCCAGTCTGTTCGGTACTTCGATGCATTTTCCCATTTCTCTGTACACTATTATACTTTCTTATACCATCGTTGCATTATCTTAAGGTTTCCTATGGGGTGGTCTCTCGGGTGCTCAGGGGACCGGAACGGCCCACCCTGCCAGGGGAACGGAAGAAGAGCTTGGGGTTGTCCCATTCTCAGCCATTTCTCCTCGAACAGTCGGCGTTTTTGACCAAACCGCAACCGAGCTACCGACAGTATGGTGATGGAGCACTTTGGGGACAGCAAGGGCAAGAGCAGGATGGGACCCGCGAGGGTCTAACTACGGGGGCTACGGGCCATTGGAGTACTGCTGGGGGTTGTGCTATTTCTCGTCAAGTTTTTTTTTTGGTGTCTTGGCTGGTTGGTTGAACGGATGGCGGTGGACAGCAGGGAGCCGGAAGTGGCAGGAGTGAATGGAGGAGGGGATCTAATCTTGCGCTAGGATTGGATGAACGGGACAGGATGGGATGGATGGCTTGGATTGGATGAATGAGGCAACATGTGGTCTACCCTCGTTTGGAATCCGGAGGACTTTTTACCATAACTGGGATTTTTGTCTCGCTCTCTCTCTCTCTTGGCCGAGGTCTGAGGAAATGGACTGGGCCACATGCTCTTCTCTGAAAAGGGAACTTCTGTGGTGTCTTTTTTCCCCCCAAAAGACCGGCCGGCCTGCGACCGCATGACCTCTCGAGTCCGACCAACCAACCAAACCCGTCTGTTTTGGGGCGGTACTCTAGCAAATCACAAGTCTAGGCGGCCCTCTGCATTTTGAGACACATCAGTTCCCATTTTTGATTTTGACAGGCCGATGACATGACATGAGACTATCTATTATGGACCATCCACGGAAAGCCGCTCGGCCCAGAGCTCCAAAACCCCCTTCTCCGTCAGCTCCGGGAGAAGCCTCACTAGCACGAGCTCTAGGATGGCATACACCAGATGCCTGTTGCAGTAAGCATCCGAAAACACGTCCAGGATGCCCCGCTCAATCTCCACCAGGATCTCCTCATCATCCCTCCGGTCGCAATCTCGATCCTGATGAGATCCCCCCTCGCTGCCTTGCGTCAGCGGCCCTGTCGACGCCAAACCGCTTGTCGCTTCCTCGCCTGAACTAGCGGGCTTGGACTTGGACAACGGCAGCGGCGACGGCGGCGGCCCCGGCGATGGTGGGTCAGCACTAGCAGCAGCAGAGAAACCCTGACCGCCGGTCTTCGGCCTCGGAGCGGGAGCGGACCGCCGGGACCGGGACTGGGACGGGGATCCTGATCTTCTTGGCCGTCCCTGCCCTCGTGCTTCCGTCTGTGCTGGCGCCGTTTCGATCAGCCTTGCTTTTTCCTTGGCCCCGTCTTCCTTTGATGATGACGATGACAAAGAACCCTTGTCCCTGCCCATGCCCCTGTCGCTGTTGTCAAGCTGCTTCCCTCCCACAGCTGTCTTCAGCTCCGCAGATCCTTCCGTTTTGACACTGCTCGCTCTCAAATTGGAATTAGCGCGCAGTAGGCCACCGCCAAAAAACAGCCTTCCCACCCCCTTCGGAACAAGCGCCCAAAGCGCGCTAGCGCACCTGCGCCTAAGGCCGCGGAGCTCGGCATCGGAAGAGGGAGCGACCAGCGTCGGTTTGCCGGCGGGCATGTTGTTGGGAAAAAGGGCCCCCCGCACGGTGCGGAGGAGTGGGGGCAGGTTCGCCGCGTCTAAGACATGCCGCTGGATGCCGTGAGAGAGGAGCCTGGAATTAACCTGTAAGCATAACCGGAAAATTGGGCTGGTTTGTCAGGCTAGAAAGCGGGGGTTTGGGGGGGGGCCGTCTGAGATCATTCATGCGTGGGGGAGCAGTGGGTGCGCGTTTGTGCGTCTCGTCGGCTCGTTCAGGCTCGAAGGTAACGACCAGGGTGGGGGAAGCCGGCGAGGGACAAGGTCCAGATAAGCTGGATGACAAACCGATCCAGAACGGTGAAGACCGAGACAAGCGGGATGAAATATCGTGGTGGAAGGCGCGGCACTGGCCGCAGAGATTGGCAAGGCTAGCGAGCGAGCACCTTTTCGGCTGAGGCGGCTTGCTTACCGGGGCATCAGAGTTCGTATGCCCTTGGAATGCGGGGGATCAGGGGAGCAACGGGAGCACTGGCCACCGAGATCTGACCTCTCACGTCATGACCAGACGAGCTTCGGCAGTGAGGAGATTTCCCACGACTTCCAAGGCTGCATTCATGCACCACTGTCACGATGGACACGCAGCCCTGTAACTCATAAGAGAGATCGACCTGGGGCCACGGCGGCGGGGGTAGTTTCGACCGGGGAATGGGCACTTGCAGGATTCTGTCCATCCATGCTGGGCCGCTGGCGTAGCGTTGAAAGGGCTCATGTCTCATGATGTGACATGTCATCCTCTCGTCCAAGACAACGCCAACCGAGAAGGGGAACGCTTCATCGCGTCGATCTGTGTCTTGAAGAAAACGTTGAGAAGACGGACGACGGCTCAGGGGACGGTACGACGCGCACACGGCGGCCGGTGATCTCGTGTGAAGCGGCACAAGGGAAGAAAATGAGTTCAAAGATCGTTCAGGCTCCGTGACCCCTGTCGCCGTCTCCAGCTCGGCGCGTAAATAAGGCTCGTCCATGGATCGTCTGGCGATGCCCCACGGGGCCTTCGTGCAATCAGACTCGGCCAAGGCTGTAGGGGTTTGCGATTGGCCCAGACTTGATATGCAGGCCGTCAACGACAAGACGCGGCAACAAGCGTTGCCTGCGGGTCGCCGATTCGGCCGCATGACATGTGGGAGGTGTGTTGCACTGCATCCAAGCCTTTACCCCGAGGCCTTGCCCTGGTTGGACATTGGTGGACGCACTGCATCCAGTGACCCCTCTTCTCAGCGGTGGAGGACCTCGAAACGTCCGACTAAGAATCGCAAGAGCCAAGATCGCGAGCTTCGCGAAACTGCCGTGTTGCACTTGCAACTTTCAGAGCCGCAAAAAAAGACGGTGATTCGTGGCGTGCATCGTTTGTCGTCAGGTCCAGTGACCGGCGGCTCATGCAGTGTGACATAGCAATTCGCGGAAGAGGCGGGGGAGGGGGGGTGAGTGTTCAAAACGGAGGGCAAACAGAATCGACCTACCTGTCAAGCACGCCGTTCACGCCGGCAATTCGTCCTGGACCCATGATGGCAATCCATTGCAACATGGACAATACGCCTCGAAGCCAGGGCATCCGGATGTCCATCTCGGCGAGATTTGAGACTGCTGACCAGGTTCGAAAGGCCAGCAAAGGCATCCTGGGTGGTCCATGCAGATCCGCATCGAAGGAGCTAGTGAGATGAGTGTGCCCCTGGCCGGTCTCGTGTTGGGTTGCGCTCTTGAGGCTCACGCCGTGAGAGGCCCGCGGAGGTAAGGAGCCAGATGTCATCAGGATCGCAAGGACCGTTCTGATGAATGAGATGCCGAGGAAACACCACTGCAAGCCAGCCCAGAACAGGGCGTGAGCCGAGAACCGCCTTTGGCTAGCCGAAGATCTGTTGCTCGATTGCTCCGGGCGATCTTGGTCCTCGGCTGTATTCCGACGCCCGGCCGTTTTCGACGCGATGATGAGGAGTTCCCATATGAGCCATGGCTCTGATAGTCTGTTGGCTACTGCGTTGCCAATAATTAGCTCCGAAAATATCTGGCCAACCAGAGCCGTCAGACAGCCGTTTTCGAGGTCTTCGGTGGGGAGGAGGATGGCGAGGAAGGCGTGGACGAGCAACTGGCGATAGGCTGCTTCGTTTTCGGCCTGCACGGCGACGCTTTCGGGGTCTTCTGGCCGGGGAACTGGGGAAAGAGCGGGTAGCGGGCACAACGAGTGATAAATCTCGCGCGGGTCTGTCTTGACTGGTGGCTGGGTGATGGGATCGTGGGCCACTCGGTAGGCTGGAGTGATTTGGGGTGTCAGCGCATCAATCGCGGACTTTTTTGTTCATTCCTAGCTCGGGGGCGCAGACGGACCAGTGACATGCTTGTCGAGGAGATCGGGCAGTTCATCGAATAGCAAGCTCTCCAAGTCCACCTTTCTCAGCCGCTGCTCGAGCGCGCGGGTGATATGGGCGATTGTCTGGACAATCTCGGCAACAAAGTCCTCGTCGGGTGTGATCTTGGCGTACCAGTTCTGGACGAATTCCTTCAAGATGATGGCAATGAGAGCGTAGAGCTGCAGATCCACATCGTTGCGGCTTGTCAGGGGCGGCAACAGGCCTTCTATCGAGGCCGGCGAGTTCTTGCCCTTGTCGGCTTGCTGGGGGCAGAGGATGCGGCGGATCAGGAGTACGGTGGCCTTGTCCGAGAGAGGGTCGGCCGATGCCGTCCGGCCTCCACGGCGAGCCCCTCCAGGTTGATGCGATTGTGCAAAGCTCTCGGTTGAGGCCGGAACCTGGTTAGGTTGCGGCTTGGATGGCGCTGCCGATTCGGACTGGAGAGTCGAAGTGCGTGATGACGGCTTAGGGCGAGGAGTTGGGATACGGGGAGGAGGCTGGGCAGCGGCGGTCGTCATGGCGGTCAAAGCTGGCAGCAGGACCCCGTCGTCATGTTAAATTTCTAGACTCTGGCCACATTTCGGTGCCTAAAACAGAGCAAGAGCTGCTCTTTTTTTGAGCAGTCGCGATCGAGAAAGCAGGCAGTTGCGACGCGGATGTCGGAAGGCGGTGGCACCGATCGCTTATCGGCTTGCGGTTGACGGCCCGGCATCATGCAACAGCCGAAAACGGCAGGCGGTGAACCCCCACAACGCAGTTGTGGGAGGCACGACCAACAACCCGAATTCAAGGCAAGAGGGTGTTTCGATTTGTTAGGCTTACGTGAGGTGATCTTCTTCCCATCTACTTCTACCTACCATCTAGTAGATAATCTAGTTACCTATCTTCAATTCGGTTTTCATGCTAGTATGGCGTCTTGGTCGCATCACAGTGACGGGTACTTCATATTGAGTGAGTAAAGGATGCCGAGAATTCGCCCATTCTCCTGGGGCAAAGGCTTGCCTGTAAAGGGGGGTGTCCTCAAAGTCTGACTGCGTGACATTGCGGACTCTAGCCCAGACGACACCCGATTTTCCTGATTGTTGGTGAGCCACTTTGGTCTCTTATGTGTAAATATACATGGGCATGGGGATCTGCTGTTGCCGTGGCCAAGACATGTCGGCCGAACCTATCATACAGAAACGGGGGTTGTAGAAACCAAGCATGGTAGCTCCAGGACTACTGTTCAGTAGACTTGTGCGTTGTCTCGTATCTGTAACAGACAATGTCAGTATTCGGCGAAATAGTGATGGATAAGACCAAAACACTAACCTCTTGCCCCTGAAAGCCCACACGCCCCAGTTACCGGCGCTAATGTCCTGGGGGTCCAGATCATTCAGATCCCATCGTAGGCTAGAGAACTTGTTCTGGCCAGGTTCCATCAGGACATCAAACTCTCCAGCTGCCGTTTTGTGGACAAAATCGATATCACGCTCCATGTCGGCCTGGGTGTAGCCGGTGACAATAATGGGCGCCTTAGTCTCCAAAAGCATGGGGAGCGTCTCCTCCCACTCATGCGAACTAGCGGGGTGTCCCAACCCTGGGTGGAACATGACAAAGCAGTCAAAGTAGGGGTCATAAGGGTAGAAGTGGCCGGTTTTGTGAATGGTGTGGTAGTAATCGACGATGGTGCTGATCTTCATGGTCGGCCACACCCGGTCCTCGACGATGGCGCCGAAGGGGTTTGTGGGCGTCCGCGGAGGGACTGCGGATAACTCGTCGTCCCTGTTAAGCATAGCTCTCCGGGCCGATGAAGATGAGGTGGATTCTCGAGAGCTGGGAAGAGATGGGCCAGCTGAACCCAGACATCCCGGGGAGAGTGATGACTCGGCCCGGGCGCCGAGGATGAAGAGGCGAACTGCGGGTGCCTGCATTCGGAGACCCTTGATATCACTGCCGCCACCCGTCTTTGCCGGGTGGAGAGTGTACCGGAGAGCTGGCAAACATCAGTCGGCGAGCCAGCCAGAAACGCCAGAAGAAGAACACATACCACTGAAACTCTTGATACCCTCGGGCGTAATCCTGCCGCCAGGCTTGATGTTGTAGGGGCTAAGCTCGTGAAGGATGCTCCCGATCGTAATAGGGTACGTCAGTAACCTTGTCGCTTGCCTCATGCTCCGGTCGTCGTTGATGGCATTGAACTGCCGCGTGTACAAAAAGGTATCCCAGCTGGACATGTTGACGAGCGCATCTTCCATTTGTGGCTCCGCATAATCGAATTCGGGGAACGAGCGGCCAGACCGGAGGTCGTGGTCATCCTCGTTGATTTGGCGCAGTGTATCGCAAATCAACAGGTGCGCCTCGTAATCGTCCGCCCAGTGCTCCTTACTACAATATACCGGAATTCCACAATCGGGGCACTCGAAGTCGACATGCGCCGGGGCTATCGAACCACCCGGCTGATGGTCGTGATGGGGGCAGCTTGCATGTTGCCTTATGAAGGCCGCGCGCTGCCGGATCGCGGGGTTGGGGGAGTTTGTGAAGGAGTGGAAGAGGTCATCTTCCGCCAGGATTTGCTTCGGTTGCGACTCGGAGGGCGGGGTAGTTGAGGTTTGCGCAAACCCGGAGGAGAATCGCCTTACAACGGGGTTCTGGTTCTGGGCCGGCCGAGCAGCGGGGGTAGCAAGCTTATCGATCTGAGTTATTGTCCTCGAGGAGCTCTTTCTGGACTGCGAACGCCGTTGCTGCCAGGAAGCATGGAGAAAGCCATTGGGCGCCTGGCCCCGCCTTTTGAGGGATACTGAGCATCGTGTGCATATTCTCGACAGCGCTGAACGCGCCGCGATTTCTGCCGGAAGAGCCATCGCAGATTCGCACTCGGTAGGTACCTTTGTTGTCTGATATCAATGGTGTGACTTTTCAAAGCTTCAAATGCCGAGCCACCTTCTGCACCGACGGGTTGCCCAATCAAGGCAGCTCCAGCCACGCTTTGTCGGATTGACTTGACCCCACTTACCGCCCACTTGTCAAGCCAAATTGTGGCTGGGACTGGGCGCCAGCTCGAGCTCGAATTTATTTTTGCGGTCTGGAGCTGGGTTCGGCCCCGGCAAACCACCAACCTCATCACCCTATCCAAGTCGAAAGGCTGCAACGTTCTCCCACCACAGTAAAGCCGCGCCGGCTTTCTGCGCACCCCGGGAATCATGGCGACGACATCGAACATGTTTCTTTACTCGCTGACTATCCAGCCGCCAACCACCATTTCGCAGGCGTTGCTGGGTCAGTTCTCGGGGACCAAGGAGCAGCAGATTATCACGGCCTCGGGCTCGCGCCTGACACTTCTTCAGCCCGATCCCAGGCAGGGCAAGGTCAACACTGTGTTGTCGCATGACATCTTTGGCATCATTCGATCCATTGCCTCCTTCCGTCTCGCTGGCAGTCACAAAGGTGAGTAACTTGGTTCCAACACCCGCATCCCCCACCGTTTCTCGGACAATTAGTGATTCTCGATCCGCTCCGCAGCTTTGGCGGGATGATCTCCGTTTAGAAACGCGTGGTGGCCTGCGGATTCAACGGAATCCTTTTCTGTGCGCCGGACTGTGCTAAAACGCGTCTGCACTTAGACTACATCATTCTCGCCACTGACTCTGGCCGCATCGCGATCATTGAGTACCAGCCCAAAACAAACAGATTCTCGCGCATTCATCTCGAGACATTCGGGAAGTCGGGCGTGCGTCGCGTCGTCCCAGGCCAATATTTGGCTGCCGACCCCAAAGGTAGAGCGTGCCTCATCGCTGGCGTCGAGAAGAACAAGTTGGTCTATGTTTTGAATCGGAACGCTCAGGCCGAGTTGACTATTTCATCACCGCTCGAGGCACACAAGGCTGGAGTTCTGGTTCTGTCGCTCGTGGCCCTCGACGTCGGTTATGCCAACCCGGTCTTTGCCGCCCTCGAAATCGACTACTCCGAAGCCGACCAGGACCCGTCCGGCGAAGCAGGCAAGGAGCCCGAAGCCCAACTCGTTTACTACGAGCTCGACCTGGGTTTGAACCACGTCGTACGCAAGTGGTCAGATGCCGTTGACCCAACTTCCTCGCTTCTCTTCCAGGTCCCGGGTGGTAACGATGGTCCCAGCGGCGTCCTGGTGTGCGGGGAGGAGAATGTCACCTACCGCCACTCCAACCAAGAAGCCTTCCGCGTTCCCATACCCAGACGGCGTGGTGCCACCGAGGACCCGCAGAGAAAACGGACCATCGTCGCGGGCGTGATGCACAAGCTAAAGGGTAGCGCGGGCGCCTTCTTTTTCTTGCTTCAGACCGACGACGGAGATCTGATGAAGGTTACGTTGGACATGGTCGAGGATAACGATGGTAACCCTACTGGTGAGGTCCGTCGTCTGAAGGTCAAATACTTTGACACGATACCCATCGCGCAAAGCTTGTGCATCTTGAAGAGCGGTTTCCTGTTCTCCGCCGGCGAGTTCGGAAACCACCACCTTTATCAGTTCGAGAAGCTCGGCGATGACGACGAGGAACTGGAGTTCTCGAGCGATGACTTCCCGACAGATTCTCGGGCGTCCTATAACCCCGTCTACTTCCACCCTCGCCCGCTGGAGAACCTGGTGCTCGTCGAAAGCATGGATTCCATGAATCCCCTGATCGATTGCAAGATTGCGAATCTAACAGGCGAGGATGCGCCACAGATCTACACGGTCTGCGGCAACAGGGCGAGGAGCACTTTCCGTATGCTCAAGCACGGTCTGGAAGTGTCCGAAATTGTCGCATCAGAGCTGCCCGGCACGCCCGCCGCGGTCTGGACGACTAAGCTGACCAAGTATGACGAGTACGATGGCTACATCGTGCTCTCTTTTACCAACGCAACGCTTGTTTTGAGCATTGGCGAAACCGTGGAGGAAGTCACGGAAAGCGGTTTCTTAACTAGTGTACCAACTCTGGCGGTCCAGCAACTAGGCGAGGAGGGCTTGATCCAGGTCCACCCGAAGGGCATCCGGCATATCGTTCAAGGCCGCGTCAACGAATGGCCAGCACCCCAACACCGATCGATCGTTGCTGCTGCGACAAATGAAAACCAAGTCGTCATCGCTCTGAGCTCCGGCGAAATTGTTTACTTCGAGATGGATGCTGATGGGTCGCTGGCTGAATACGATGAGAAGAAGGAAATGTCCGGTACGGTCACGTCCCTCAGTTTGGGAAGGGTACCTGAAGGACTTAGGCGGAGTTCGTTCCTAGCTGTTGGATGTGATGACTGCACGGTTCGGATTCTCAGTCTTGACCCCGAGTCAACTCTGGAGATGAAGTCCATCCAGGCTCTCACATCAGCACCGTCATCTCTCCTGGTCATGGCCATGGAAGACTCAACCGGGGGCATGACATTATACCTACACATCGGCCTGCACTCCGGCGTTTACTTGAGAACCGTCCTGGACGAGGTCACCGGCGAGCTGACCGACACCCGGCAAAAGTTCCTCGGCCCGAAGCCGACGAAACTCTTCCAAGTCTCGGTGCAAAACCAGCCATGCGTGCTTGCGCTCAGCTCGAGGCCATGGCTGGGTTACACCGACCCCATCACCAAAAACTTCTCTATGACACCACTCATCTACTCTGAGCTCGAATTCGGCTGGAATTTCAGCAGCGAGCAGTGCCTGGAAGGCATGGTTGGTATCCATGCCAACTTCCTTAGGTTAGTGCATTTCGTCTATCTCCCGCCCGCGCTCCTATGTCATGATGATAAAAGGGATACCTACGCCATGTGCTATGAGGCTTGACTACAACTGAGGTTGTATCAATTGTTCCTTCTGAGACAGCTTTCACCCACCCACACTTTTGTCGACTACATGTTGCATGTGCCACATGTTGACTTGTTCACAGGATTTTCACAATCGAGAGACTCGGCGACACCATGATACAAAAGTCGATTCCCCTCACATACACGCCCAAGCGGCTGGTCAAACACCCCGAGCAGCCGTACTTTTACACCATCGAATCAGACAATAACACTCTACCCCCAGAATTGCGGGCGCAACTCTTGGAGCAATCAGGGGCCGTCAATGGAGACGCAGCGATTCTGCCACCGGAGGATTTTGGGTACCCCCGTGCCACAGGCAGGTGGGCATCCTGCATCAGCGTTGTGGATCCTCTCGGCGAAGAGCCCAGCGTGCTCCAAAGAATCGACTTCGAAGGCAACGAGGCCGCCGTGAGCGCGGCGGTTGTCCCTTTCTCTAGCCAGGAGGGCGAGAGCTTCCTCATCGTCGGCACTGGAAAAGATATGGTGCTTAATCCACGAAAGTTCAGCGAGGGGTACATCCACGTTTATCGATTCCACGAAGACGGGCGAGATCTTGAGTTTATTCACAAGACCAAGGTCGAAGAACCACCGATGGCTCTGATCCCTTTCCAAGGGCGCCTGCTTGCCGGTATCGGCAAGACACTCCGAGTGTACGATCTTGGCCTCAGGCAATTGCTCAGGAAGGCCCAAGGGGAAGTGGCGCCACAGCTCATCGTGTCGCTCCAAACCCAAGGCAGCCGAATCATCGTTGGTGACGTGCAACAGGGTATTACATATGTCGTCTATAAACCCGAGAGCAACAAGCTCCTCCCGTTCGCCGACGATACCATCAACCGGTGGACCACGTGTACCACCATGGTCGACTACGAATCAGTGGCCGGCGGTGATAAATTCGGCAACATCTGGATCCTGCGCTGCTCGGAACGAGCCAGCCAGGAGAGTGACGAACCGGGCTCCGAGATCCAGCTCCTCCACGCCCGTAACTACCTACACGGCGCGCAGAGCCGCCTGAGTGCGATGGCGCATTTCTACACGCAGGACCTGCCGACGAGCATCGTCAAGACGAACCTGGTGGTGGGCGGGCAGGATGTACTGGTCTGGAGTGGGATCCAGGGCACGGTGGGCGTACTGATTCCGTTTGTTAGTCGCGAGGACGTGGACTTCTTCCAGAATCTCGAAAGCCACATGCGGGCCGAGGATCCGCCGTTAGCGGGGCGTGACCATCTGATCTATCGGGGATACTATGTCCCTGTCAAGGGGGTGATTGATGGTGACCTCTGCGAGAGGTTCAGTCTCCTGCCGAACGACAAGAAGCAGATGATTGCCGGGGAACTGGACCGCTCCGTGCGGGAAATCGAGCGGAAGATCTCGGTAAGCCTCCCGTTTTTCTGACGTTGGCATTGAACAGCTGCTAACTCTCGCTAGGACATCCGGACGCGGTCTGCTTTCTAGATATGATGACGACCACGACAAGCACGTGGGTTGGGTTGAGTTGGGGATATTGGTTGTATTATCACATGTAAGCGGGCGGCGCTCTGGAAGGACTTTGGCGTTAATGTCACGCCAAGTGAAACACTTATTTACCATAGCCAGCTTCGACTTGAAGTCGAGATGGGATGGAACCGGAATGAATTGAAAGTCTACATACCCAGCCTGTCTCCCTCCTTGCTCACCCCTTTAGCCACGCAAACAGCCTCCCCTCCCCACCCCCAGCCTTTACAGCCTTCCCCTTCTCCTTCCCCCTTTTCCCCAACAACCCCCGACCGGGACCAGCACCAGACCCGTCCAACAGATTCGGGTTCGCCCGCTCCCACGCCGCGTCGGCCCGGTGCCACGCCACCGCGGCGTCGAAATCGTGCCCACTCGCCTCCAGGTACACCACCGCCGCGTCGTAGTCCGGCTCCTTGCACGCCACCATGAACCGCCGGATCTGCACCTTGCGCTCCCGCTCGGCCGCTTCCTCGACGGGGAAGGGCGAGTGGCTTGGGTTGGGGTTGGGGGTGGTGGTGGTGGCGGCAGCGTCGGTGGTGGTGGTGGTGCCGGTCTTGGTGGTATTAGTGATGTAGGCGGTGGGGATCAGCAGCGTGTGCCGCGCAGCCAGGAGGTAGTCCGCGTCGTTAGGCAGGTTGTTGTGCTGCCGCAGGATGTGGGCGGGGATGCCGTAGCGGAGCGACAGTGAGGTCAGGCTGTCGGGGGTGGGGTGGGGTGGGTGTCGGAGGTGGTGGATTGTGTAGGGGGGTTGGTCTGCTTGTTGTTCCTTTTCTTTTTGTTGAGGGGGTTGTTTTGGGTTGGAGTCGGGGTTGGGTTTGGAGTGGAAGGGGGAGGTGTAAGGCGGTGGTGGGGGGGTAGGGGGCTTGGTTGTGTTGGCTTTGGGGTTGATGGTCTGGGCGATGGCGGAATAGGGGGGCGGCTCGCTTTCCGTGTCTGTTTCTGTTTCCGATCCGTCTTCTTCCTCCCCTTGCCTGGGCCGGGCCTGGAGGCGGCTGCTCGGAAAAGATTGGTTCGACGTCTGACAGTAGGGGCAGTAGTTGAGGAAGCGGCGGTTTCTCTGGGAAAAGAATTATTAATCCGGGGTTTCTTAGAGGCGGGAGCTGCACTGGGGTTTACATGTATACAAGCACCACAGATGGTACGCCTGCAACAATCTAACTGCCTGTCATCGGGTAAGGGCTTCTCGGAAGAGGACGACACTCGGGGCACGGCGGCGAGCAGCGATGCGCAGGTGCAGCATGCTGCCTGGGACATGATTCTAGGTATAAACAGGTGGTCTTCAGGAAGTGAGTTTGGTAGATATCAATAATACTTGATTCGTCTCGCAATAGTGGACACGGGTATGGAAGGTTAGACAACCCTTGACCTGGGTGGGCTGGGAGGTCCCGTCCGTGGATGGCGTCGATAGCGTCGATGGTGGCGATGGAAGGATGACAGGGATCCAGCGCCTTTGGCTGGGATTGTGCTTATCGATAACGATAGGTAGGCAGCGTGGGGAGTGTGGAGTGTGGTAGTTGACCCGGTGAGCCGTATTGCCATGAAACCGAAACCCCCACATCCGCCCCGCACCAAACAGGAGCTCTCTCATCCCAAAACCATGGAAGAAACAAAGAACAACCTGGAACAAGCCGGCTACAATAGCGGCGTCGTGTCCACCTCCGTCTTGTCTTTTGAGTGATGTGCACGCCCAACTGACCGGTTACACGCAACTGCACCCCAGAGGCCCCGCTGACTTGTTCCACCAGGCTGGCACGCTGGCTGGTTGGGTTCGAATGAGCATTTGATTCGAGCTGCTCTCCACAACGGCCTGCGGGGGTTTTGGGGCCAACGGGACCCGCCATGACCCCATCAATGGCCCATCAGCTCTGGACAACGCCCGAGAACAACACGATTGGCCCCCGACGAGCCTGGGATCGAGCGACTAAAACCCAGCAGCTAGGGCTGGTGCATTCCAGATCGCAGCGCTCACTATCCCATGTGACCGGTTGCCAATCGGCGCTTTTACCTGCGCTGTGTGGCCGCGTGGTGGAATCAGCACCTGTTGGCGAGGCAATTGGCAGGACGCTCGCTTTGTGATCCATGTTTGTGTCAACGACCAGCGTCTTGCGGGGGGGCCGCCGGGTGTGCCTACGAATCAGCTGCTTTTCCGCCCGGTTGCCCCCCGTTCTCTGTCGAGTATCACGACTTCTACGGCGGGCGAGACGTAGCTCTCAGGAGGTCTGCAGAGGCCCGGCTGCTGCGGGGCTGGCCGCCCCGTCGGTGGGGCGGGATGGATTTCATGGGTCGCTCGACTCGCTCCCGCCGAGTGGGCGCCCGGGAGCTACCTATCGCGAGGCAGGCTAGGAAATGGGCCTTCCACCCGGACACCGGTGAGAGAGGTATTTGAAGGGAACCGGCGCCCAGTCTTCATGCCAGATCCTGTGCCAGCCAGCCCACCTAAAGAATCTTCCGAGTTCTTAAAAAACACACTACCGACAGGGGACATTGCATTGGATATCCAGTGCCAACCACTAATCGACAACCTAACAACAACCTCCCACCAACCATGGCGGTAGGTTGCCTGCCAAAATACCCAAGCTTCCCAGGGGCACAAGCTGATAAGGATAACGATGTTACCCCGCCGCAGAGCTCCTACCCTCAGATTGTCCTGTTTGGCGATTCGCTCTTCCAGGGAGCTGCCGGTCTCTCCGACGGCTTTTCATTCCAGGCTGCTCTACAAGCACGTTAGTTTACCATGTTTTTGATATTATGTCAGGGATGTCTCCAAGGTTGACATAAATATCAATGCCATAGAGGTCCTCCGCCGGTTCGATGTCGTCAACCGCGGCTTCTCGGGGTACAACACATCCAATGCCCTGAGCATACTCCCTCAAATCATCGCGCCGCCAACGCCGGGCGGGCCAGCCCTCAAGTACCTCGTAAGTTCAGGTCCTAGCTCACTCGTAGAATCCCGAAACGAAACCATTGACCCGACGCGGCAAGCTCATCCTCTTCGGCGCCAACGACGCATGCGTTCCGTTGCCCACCAACTTCCAACGTGTTCCTCTCGACAAGTACAAGGAGAACTTGGCCCGCATTATCAACCATCCCATCATCACGGCGCACAAGCCCAAGATCTTCCTCGTCACACCGCCGCCCTTGGACCAGATCCGCGTGACAGTGCTCGACCGAGCCAATGGACACCCCGCCGCGGCAAGACAAACCAAAGTTAGCGCGGCTTACTCGGAAGCCGCCCGGCAAGTGGCTGCCAAGCATCCCGGGGTCACGCTTATAGACCTCCACAAGGCACTCATGGACAGGGCCATCGACAAGACGCCGGGCTTCGACCCCAAGGGACCGCCGCTCGGCGACCCGGAAAGTGGCGTTCGGGGGTACCTCGAGCATCTGTTGCCGGACGGACTCCACCTCAGCAGCGAGTCGTATCGTATCCTCTACGACCTCGTACGGCCCCATATCGGCTCTGAATGGGCGGGGACGAAGGACGAGGACAGGGTCGCATACGTACTACCAGACTGGCGCCAGGCGCCGTGGCTCAGCGAGGATAGCCATCTCCGGGGCAAGTCCTTGTAGGACCCACGAACTGGGGAAGTAGCTAGAGTTCTTTCGAGTGCGCCGGCGCCCAAATAAATTTGACACTACCTGACCACAATCGATACATTTTACTTTTTTTCAAGGGCCTACATTCAGGCTCGCCGTAGGGATATCTCCAATGAATGGTGTACACAGTACCTGGCGCACTCAGAAGGTGAGAACGTCATCGGCGGACATTGGTGGCCAGCATTTTGGACATGGTATTAGAAGGGTTAGGGTTAAGTCACTCTCTAACCCTCGGGAACCAACGAGCGAACTCAAAGCCTGTTATATCACCGGTAGTGCTGGTAGCATTATCTATAGGCTTCGAGACTTGATAACCTAGCCTGTTCTGCAACCGGCCGTGCTGTCCTGGATAACCTTGAGATCTGTCATGGGAGGCTGGCATTGTGTTGACAAGGGTTAGGGTCACCCAGCCGTCCTGTTGTGGGGTCCCCTTGAAGGGAGCAAGCTCGAGCCAACCGAGCTAGCTAATCGATATCACTGCCCACCCACGACGCCTGGCATCTCTCCCTTCCTCGAACCACAAACCGACCCACGAACCACAAAGCTATCGCAACTTTCCATCACAACCACGACAATTAACAAACTACGCGCAATTCTCGAAAACTTGACCCACCAAGCTTTTGGCTCAAGTGACATCTCTAACGGCTGGACCTGTGCCCCACGCTCGTGGACAGCTCAATCCGACTGGGCGCGAGAGAGATCGTTAAAGACCTGGTGGCCTTGCAGGCAACGCGGGCGGAGGCGGGCCTCGAGAATTGATATCATCAAGGATCGAGGTCAAAGAAAGACGGTAACTACTGGTCTTCTCCAGCCCGCCAATTTTGCGCCGACAAGTCTCACCCGTCCGAGTCCGAAAGTCAAACGCGATTGCTCTCTCGCGCCCGCGCTTGAGTTATCCCTTGGTTACTAATCTCCTCCCCGTTCTGTAGTGTCTATTCCATCCCCGCGGGCATGGATCCCATTCTTCTTGTCAGCCGAGACGAACTCCTCGAGGTTCAGATAGAGATGAAACGACTTCAACATACCCAAGCGTTGCACAACGAACGGATAAAGACGTTAGAGAAACGCCAGTCCGGCGATGCGGCCCTTAGGTCTGCGTGGAACTCGGCGTTTCCAAGCGCTCTAGGGGGGACCCCTCAACACGGTGGGTAGGCTCCCATGCGGGCCAAGTGCTTGCTGAGCTGACCCCATCACAGGACCGGTTCGTATGCCGTCGAACGATCTGTTGGAGAAGCTCACCGAGGATCAAAATAAGATTCTCGGAGGGCTGTCCCTCGATGCGGGGGACGAGCCGGCACGGCGCGGGGCAGCCTCACGCGCCAACAGCGTCCGTTTCGACGAGAGCGCCTTGCACGGCGCTAACCCCAGTGGCCATAGCGCCCGCCACTCTGGCGACTTTGGCGTCAGCCGTCCTGGGAGTAGCTTCGGAGGTCATCAGATGGAGCGGACACATTCCCAGAAGTCGGACGGCAGACACAGTTCCGCAGGGCAATCCAACTATTCCCTGTATTCGGGCACGTCCGGACGCATTGGTAACCTCACGCTGGACCATGCCTCTGTAGTCAATGGACAGGAAGCTGATTCAGCCTTGAGTCTCGCGGGGCCGCCACCTGGCTTACACACTCTAGATATTCTAGACCCACTGCCGACCATAATTCGCTGTTGGCTACACGACGACTTTACCAACGCCGCACTATTGTACGGCGTAGTGTGCACCGGCTCACACAAATCGACGGTCGAGTACTCGCTGCTGAGGGATCTCGACCTCACAAACAACATACATCGGGACGTGGACGGAACTTATCGCGTCACCCTTCCCGTGTACTTTGCCGAGGGGACCGTGATGCCACCAAACTCCCCGACGACCGGCGTTCCACCTAACATCACCGCGTCATTCGAGGTGACGGGCATGGATCAACAAGAACCCCGCGACCCGTCGAAAAGGATTCGAATTTTTATCGGCAGCTACACTCTGCGCCATCACCACGCCGATATTCTGTTAACTCGGAACATGATGACGCTCTACGGCACCGACAATAACAAGGTGTCCGTTCCGTTTGCACGCCCCGAAGATGACGCGGTGTTCAAAAACATCACCACGGGCAACACGGTGTCGAGCAAGCGGAGGCTGAACGCCGCCGCCGCGGTCTTTGTCGCCTCCGGGGGATCGGCAAACGGATCCTCCCAAGGTGCCAAAGAAGGCGGCACCTCGGGTTCCGACGGGATGCCCTCACCCACGGCGCCCTCAAGTCGGCCGGCCGAAACGGCCACGACCAGTGCGGCATCAGAAAGCGGGGCGGAGAGCGAAGACCCGAGCGGAGGGGTCCCTGGCCCAACACTCACAAAACCCCAAATCCCCGAGTCGACAGAAGCCAAACGCCGCGACTCTAACTCGGCAATCCATACGCCATGGCGACACGCCGCGACCGCCCTCGGGGATAACACCGCACCGCTGAGTGGATATCAGCAGCCAGCACCGCGCGCGAAACCTATGATGGTCCTCAAGTCGAAATCTCATAACTCGACGACCAGGACGGGAGCATCCTATGAGCCGGCACCAGCGCCTCGCCCAACTGCCGAGCAGAGGCGGAAGCCGGCGACGGAAGGGGGACGCTGGAAGAAACGGAGCGTGAGCGCCTCCGCGCTGGCCAGACCCGGCGAGGGCAAGCAACCGGCCGGCGGCGCAGGAAAGGCACCCTTGGCTGCACGGACCGGGAACAACCCCCTCGGCAACGCGTCTGCTTTTGCTTGGACCACGCCAAAGCCCAAAACACCAAATGGGACCGAATAGAGTGTCCCATACTTACAATATTTGATCATAGACGTTGTCCACAAACGGAGGACGCCAAATGGGACCGAACAGCGTGTCCCCTACTTGCAATATACAACCCCGGACGTTTTCCAAACGGAAGACGCCCAATGGACCGAACAGAGTGTCCCACACTTATAACTACACTATTTCACCCCGGACGTGCGATGGGAAGGGGCCGATTTGGTTGGACGATGAATGTTTTGCGATGCCGACCTGGGACCAAAAGCGCCCGGCGGCAGTAGTTCAAAAAGCAGATAAAACCCCAAAAAAATAACCAAATCATGAGAAAATATTTCAAAGACGTGTGCCTCCTTTGTGTCTAGGTGATGTATCAACCACATCCGGGGATTATCCCCGCGCCCTCTCGTCCTCTTTCCTCTGCCCTCTACCTACCACCGTCTGCCCATCCCCAAACACAACCCTACCCTACCTCGACAGGCCCATCCACCCACCCCCCTAAATCTTACTCCCCACCAACCCGGTCAACGCCGCCCTCGTATCCCCCACCGCCTCCTTCACCACCCCAATCATGCCCTTGAACTCGGGAATCCCCGCATCCCCCATGCACTCGTAGATCCACCCCTCGCTCGTCGTCACCACCGCCCCCGCCGCCGCCACCCGCGCCAGCGCGATCCCGACCTCCTCCCGGTTCGAGCTGCTCACCCCGTCCGCGAGCACGTACACGCGGTGGCCGGCGGCGAGCAGGTCCAGCGCGGTTTGCGTGATGCAGATGTGCGATTCGATGCCGACGAGGGCGATTTCGGAGGGGGTGGGGGGGCTGTTATTGGGAGGGGGGAGGGAGGAGAAGTAAGTGGAGATGGGCGGGAGCCACATGCTGAAACGGGTTTTGTCGGTGTTGGCGAGGACGAGCGGGCCCGCGGCGGTGAGGTCGGGTTCTGTGGCCGGGGAAGGGGGGGTGGTTAGTTTTGGTTTGTTTTGGGTTCTTTCTTGGGTGGTTTGTTTGTTTGCCTCTGTTGGTTCCTCCGTTTGTAAGGGTGGTGGGGGGATGGTAAAAGGGTGATAAAGCAAGGGGGGGTGACTAAGTTGATTGTGACGTACGGAGTTCTGCGACGGTGTCACCGAGGCGGGCACGGTTTTGCGTGGTCACAAAGATGGGTATCTGGAGGGTGGTGGCGGCGCGGAGGAGTTTGCGCGTGGTGAGAACGCTGGGTTGAGTCGGTCAGTCTAGTGATTTCGAGGATGCCAAAGGGACAAAACCAGGAGCGTACGTACACTTTGTCAAATTCGTAGATGCTAGGGCGAAACTTTTCTTGAATGTCGCAGACGCTGGTGTCAGGTTAGTGAGGTGTCCATGTGACTCAATAAGGGGCCAGAGAGCTCACAAAACGGCGGGGTTCTCTATGGTAAGTGTGTCAGTGAGTATGTTGGTTGTGAGGGCAAGAATAACTTACTGAACCGCCGCTCGGGAACAGGGGCAGCCATATTGGGCGGGCAGGTATTTGTTCCAGAAGTTAGATGTTGTGTGGAAGTTAACTCGGTGTGCACCCAGCTGAGATGTCTGGTGGTTGTTTTAAGCCCGGAGCTCAACATTAAAACGGGCGCATGGATGGAGCTACGTGGGCCCGGCCAGACGCGGGGCAGCGGGTCGGACCCGAACGGAGGGGAGCTTGGGGGTAACTCCATTCGGTACCCCGCAATTCACGTGGGGAAGCCGAGATGTTACCTGGGTACCTAGGTACATACATATAGGGAGATATCATGAGGGATGAGTTGAAAGAGGAGGCGAGAAGTAGTTTCTTTGGGAATCCCGTTATACAACACTCCTGACCTTTGCCCTTTCTAACCAGGACAGCTCTTTGCTCGCCGTGGCCTGCCGGATGAGATACAGCTCATCCAAAAAGGCTGGGACGAAGCTACCCGGTCCTCTAACCTCGGGCCGGGAGGCAGCGATCTCGGCGGCGATCTCGAAATGCAGAATGGCCGCGATGACAGCTACTAGCCTATTCGTCGTACGCGATGCTATAGCAGCCGAAATGGTGGTCCCCAGCGTGCAGCCCGTCCCTGTCACCATGCCGAGATACTCGTGCCCGTTGTCAATGGCAAAGGTCCGGACCCCGTCACTGACAAAGTCTGTCTTGCCCGTCATGACGACCACGTTCTTCTCCCGTGCGGCCAGCTCCCGCACTAGCTGAGCCTTTTGCGAGGCATCCAGCGTGCTCGAGCTGTCGACGCCGCGCTGCTGCTCTTGGCTATTGCCAAACACCGTCTTGATCTCCCCCTCATTTCCCTTGATGACGTCGAGATAGCCGTTGGACATGATGGTCTTGACGGCTTCCCCGCCGGAGAGAGGTGGCGCCAGCACTATGATGGTCAGTCACCGGGTGTTGGGCTAGGTGGTCAGCGATACATACCCCACCGGGTCGAACACGACCGGCCGCCCTTCTAGGTTGTACGCTTTGAGTGCCTTCAGGTAGTTTGTCAACCCGTTCGGGTCAACGGAGCCCATGTTGATGACCAGGGCACCTCCAAGTTTGCATAGATCGGGAGCTTCCTCCCCGTAACCAGCCATGATCGGTGACGCGCCGATGGCCAGGGCGACGTTGGCCGCGATGTTTTGCACCACCTAGTTTTTGTTAGCCACGAGATGTCTGAGGGGTAGGACGGGGCACGTGTACGTACAATGTTGGTCATGTTGTGGGAGAGTGGTGTCGTCTCGTGGACTCTTTGCAGAACGGATGGCGCCAGATCAACCACGGTTTTTACGTCGGCAACGTCCGAGTCTTTCCCTCTGGTATCAGCTTGGAAAGCTGGTGGACTCCTGACCAAGGCAAGAAGCTTCTTAGCGGCGGATTCCGGATCCTGAGCCGCCATGATGGCGCTGACGATTGCGACACCATCCAATCTCTTGTACGCCGCCGCGCATTGGAACACGATGCGTTGCAGGTTGGACTCGTTGACACCGCCGATGCAAACAGTTTGGGTCTTGTGCCCTGCATCGGCAATTTTCCCTAGAATCTCACGCACACCAGCGGCACCGATGATCTCCTTGGTGTTGGTCTTTCTGGGCCGTGTTAGCATGGAAAACTTTTGAAAACAAGCGAGTGGCCTCACGTTGGGGTGGCATAAACGGTGCCAATGCCAAGATAGTCAGCGCCACCTTCACATGCCTTGAGTGCCTCGTCGACGGTGCTGGCCGTGACTCCAATGATCTTGTCCGGCCCTAGAAGCTTCCTTGCGGTTGATAGATCTGCACTTGGTCAGTGTACGTGGTCGGTGTACCCTATTCAGGATACAAGCGAATAAAAACCTCACGCACCCATATCATCCTGGCCGATGTGGATGCCTTCACAGTCAACGGCCAGAGCCACATCGACGCGGTCGTTGATGAGCAGCGGCACATTGTACCTCTTTGTAATCTCATGTAAAGCCTTTGCCTTTGCGATCAGCTCTGCGGTGTCTCCCTTTTTCTCACGTAGTTGCACAATAGTGACTCCTCCCTTGAGGGACGCTTCGACAACCTCATTGAGATTCCTGTCGCCGAGGATAGCGGGGGTCGAGTCGGTGACTAGATACAGCCCATAGTCGACTTCTGGCTTGCCCATCATAAAATTGATCTTCTTTTATTTCGAAGTCGGATGAATCAACAATGACCAGGATCAAGCAACTGATGGAAAGTCTGGAAAGCCGTCCGGAACCGGAGGGTGGGGTGAGTGGAGCAGAGGGGTCATCGTCACTTCCAAGCATCGACATACAAATCTGTCCATGAACGACAACGGAACTGAAAATTCGGACTGTTTTTTTAACACAGTTTTATTGAATGTCCCGCTCTCATTATATAAAACGAGATACCTACTTTACTCGGAAGGTTACAGTTCACCACGTCCCATACTATGAGGCTTCATCCCGAAGACTTGGAGTGAAGCTGGGTACCTAACCTTCAACCCCCCCCTTAAGTGCTCGCTGGCAGAATAAAAAAGGTCGTGATTGACCTCGCTGCCACGGCCCCCGAGATGGAGCCATCATCAGCCAACGTCGCGGGCACACTCGCGCAGTTCCTCGTGTTATCCGAGACAAACGCCTGTACCGCCGCCGCCCTCGCGCCCCCCGAGATCTTGACATTCACATTCGACGTCGACCCTCCCGAACTAATAGCCACCACGGCAATCGTGCCATCCTCATTCTGGAACGCCGCCGTGCGCACCCCGTTCCCGCCGCCGCTCGCCGCGACCCGCACCGCCCCGGGGCGCACGTAGCGCGACCAGTTGGCCAGCGCCCACAGCCGGCGCGAGGGCTCGTACGTGTTGGTGGTGTTGTCGACGCGGATCAGCTTCTCGTTGGTGTTGGGATTGGGCCACTGCACGCCCTCCCAGTACAGGAACGCGGACACGTTGGTGTTGACGACGGCGTTGTAGACGTTGTTGGCCCACGTCAGGCCCTCGCCCGCCCCGCCGTTGGCGTACCACGCCGTCGTCCACTGCCCGTTGAGGTCGCACTGCTCCGACATCCACACCGGCGCCCGTGTGCTCATCGCCCCGCCCCCGCCCTGGTACGTGTGCGACGTCACCGCCGCCAGCATCCCCTCGGCCCCCGCCGCCCGGATCTGGCTCACCATCTGGTTCTGGTTGCCCCAGCCCATCGAGTCACAGCAAGTTATACCAACCTGCTGACCCAGGCCCGCAGCCTCGAGGGTCGGGTGCAAAATCTTGATGAAGTCGGCCGCCTGGTTGCCGTTGGACTGCATCGACGCGTAGCTGGCGCTGAAGTCGGGCTCGTTGAGGAACCCCAGCCGCGTGACGTTGACCCCCGCCGCCGCGTAGAACTTGATGTACGCCACCAGGTAGTTGGCGTACGCCTGCCGCCAGTCCCCCGACGAGCACCCGGCCCCGGGTACCCCGCACAGCGTGCCGCCGTTGGTGTCGTGCCCGTTAGTCTTCATATATCCGGGCGCGCTCCACGCGTCTGCGGTGCGTGAGGTGTTAGCACAACCTCTCTCCCAAACACTCCCCTACGACCCCGTTGAGTAAGACCACAAAACTTACTCGCGTAGATGGTCTTCACTCCGTACAACGACACCGCCTGCTGCGACACCCACAGCTGGCCGCTATCCTTGCCATCCCACTGGTACTTGGGCTCGGCGGTCGGCCCGCCGGGGTTGGTCGGGGCGATGGTGTTCATGAAGTCCGAGTTGCTGTTGGGGGTCGACCCGATGCCGTTGCGGAGGATGCTGAACCCGGCCCCCGTCGTGCGGTTGAACAGCAGGTCCAGCAGCTCGCGCTGCTTGGCCTTGTCCGACATGTTGGTGATCAGGTTCGCCCGCTGGAACGCCAGGCTGAAGCCGAACCCGTCCATGCGCTGGTATGTCTTGGTTAGGTCGACGGTGATGGTGTTGGCTTGCCGTGGTGCGATGGTGTTGGGGTCGGCGCCGGCGCCGGCGCTGCTGATGGCTACGGTCGCGGCCGCTGTGAGGAGGGCTTCGGTGAGGCGCATGTTGGGTGAGTGGTGGGTGAGTGGGTTCGTGGGGTATGCTGTGCTGCGTGACGTTGTCTAGGGAAAATCAGCCCCTAACGACGCTGAATGTGTCAACGATGGCTCAACTATATGAGTGGTAGGTTGCTAGTATCTTCTACTCCGAGGCACTCGCCCTCATCTGCCCACATTCATCTTCCCCCCTCCGTATGCTCGTTACTACCTCTTCCATCAGTCGAGTGGTAAGGCTCGTATGGGGCATATTAATTGCCCTCTCTCGAAGCTCTCGCTGTACACCATACCCCATGATCCAACCTCTCATGATCACATGCCTGGTCCCTTAGCCCAGAAGGGAAAGCTCGAGCCTTGGAAGTTATGTGGAGTTTACCCAACCAAATGGGTGGGCTGAACTAAGATAGACACAAACAATCCGGTGTCCAGCCATTCGTCACTGGCATCACTGTACAACCCAGAGGTCCAAGAGCGGGTAAATTGACCGACCCTCGGGGCATCGTGAAAGGAAGAACCGAGGACAAAAACACCCGACGCGGCATACATGAAATTCCCCGAGGGGTTCACTGCAACGTGCTTCGGGACTAAATGTGTGGGGTTCGCATCCCCTTGCCCCAGAATGCCAACTACCGACTACTATCGGACAGAGTGAGAAGGGGGAGTAGCCGGGTTGGTGGCACTCATTGGCATGGCTCACCCCATACTCATCGATGCTTCGATGTGGTGGAATCTCGGGGTCTGAAGAATAAACCCACGAATAAGGTGGCGGTTTGGCCTCTTGGGACTGGTACGGTACCTAGTCAAGGCTTTATCGTTCCCTTCTACAGAACGAAAAGAGACGGGCTTTTGGGAGGCTAGGCCTAGAGCTCGCGGACGGTAGGCCGTAAAGGCCGTGAAGGCACGCATGTAAAGGCCTAACCCTCGCGTATGCACCTCCTTCTTTTCGCTCAGATCCATCGATTCCAACATCGCAGTCAGATGTCAAATCCACCTAGGGGAGTGTTGTAGAGTAGTGGTATTGTGGAAGGCTCGTTGTAACTCGGTATCGGGTTGGCTATAGCAATGGTTAGCTGGGCCCGAAAATAACTATTAATTTACGATCGTTAGTTACCCACTATTGGAAACAACCCTCTAGAAATAATGGAAGAAGTGAAATCCCCTTACCCCAGGGAGTAAATCCTAGCTAAGAAATTTAATGTCGAATGAAGACCGAATACTAACCATTCTCCGGATGTAATGGTTGCATTTGAAGCCTAACGGTATTCATATAGGGTACGTGTAGGCTTATTATTCATTATTAACCTAGCCCAGAGGCTGCGTTTACAGGTGGATTTGACATCTGACTGCGATGTTGGAATCGATGGATCTGAGCGAAAAGAAGGAGGTGCATACGCGAGGGTTAGGCCTTTACATGCGTGCCTTCACGGCCTTTACGGCCTACCGTCCGCGAGCTCTAGGCCTAGCCCTCCCAAAAGCCTGTCTCTTTTTCTGGCGGTTCTATTGACTTGCCCGGCCAAGTGATTTTCAGGATACATATCATCGACATATTTTTTGGCATGATCCCACGTGCCCCTTTTTGTAAACCCCAGACCCATTTTTGTCTTCCAGGAGGACCAGACTAGGCGTACAGCGTCTAGGTCGATTAGATCGAGAGCTGCGCGGTCACGGCCTTGTCCAGCGATTCCTTGTACTTCGCCAGCTTCTCCGCCACCTCGCCGTTGCAATAGTCTTCGACGATCTTGGGACAGTTGCCGATGAACAGCTTGGGGTCGACTAGGCTGTCGATTTCGTTCCAGACGGGCTACAGAATCGTGTTAGTTCTTTCGTACCTTGTTGAGTCCATTCAATCAGAGAACTCGCCTTGAAGAATTCGGTCTTCTTGACCCGCTCGAGGAGGTCGTTGCGACCACCCTGCTGCTTGACAACATCGCTGGCTTGGTGAGACTGCCACTTGTTAGCATCCGGGAAGGACTATAACTAGGCTTCCTAGCATACCAGGACGCGGATCTCCTCGTGGGCTTCCTGGCGAGAGACGCCGTGGGTGGAGAGCTTCATCAGAATCGACTCGGTAGCCACTGCAAAGGTCAGAACCAACAACTAGAGAAGGGGGCCCTGGTAATAACGTACTGAACGGGAGCTCCTGGTCAATACGGGACCGAATAACATTGGGGTAAATGACCAGACCGTTGGTCACATTATCCAGTGCAATAAGGATCGAGTCGGCCAGCAGGAACTACAAGCAGTGAGTATATCAACAGCAGGAGGTAAACAGAGAAGACGAACCATCTCGGGGATGTCCATACGGCGGATGGCGCCTGGGGGTGGTCAGCATCAAAATAGCGGCATCCAAAAGGGCCAGTAAACAAATCCTGGCAACACCCCAAAAGGGGTAGAGGGTTAGGGTTGGATCAGCGGAAACTCACTGTCGTCCAGACTGCGATTTCCGTCGTTAGCTTCCTACACGAGTTGTTACCAGGTTTGGGGCTTTACTCACGTTCTCTCGAACCACTGCGTCTCGAACGTGGCCGTGAAGTTGGCGGGCAGGCGGGCAAGCTTGCGGCCAAGGGCAGTGATGCGTTCAGACCGCATGGGGTTGCGCTGGAGTTTGGTTAGTGCGCGTCTCTCTTCGCAGTAATCAACAGGCCCTACCTTGTAAGCCATGGCCGAGCTTCCCTGGGTACAGTTAGTAGGTGAGTCCGGTTATCTGGGAAGAGTTGCGTCTTCTTACGATCTGGCTCTTCTCAAACGGCTCCTCCATCTCCTTCAGGTTGGCCAGGTGACGGATATCGGAGCAAATCCGCTCGGCGGTCGCACCGAGGGCGCAAACAGCATTGGCAACGCGGAGGTCAACCTTTACGGTGTCAGCTGATGGTAATAGTCCCGCAGGAAGAGGTACCCACCTTTCTGGTGTAGGTCTGGGTGGAGATGGGGGTAGGTGGACGGGAATCCAGCCTTCTTGCAGAGGATCTAAGGAGATGTCAGTCAATAGTGATGGTGGCGATAGAATAGCTACCGCCTACCTCATTGAGCCGCACGATCTTGTCCGCATCTCCCTCAAAAAGTTCAAGGAAGGTTGCTTGAGAGCCAGTAGTACCCTGGGCACCCCTGAACTGAAGCTTCTCACGGACTGTCTCAATGTCTTCCAGATCCATGAGGAGCTCCTGAATCCACTGCGCGGCGCGCTTTCCTAATTGTGGGTTAACACCAGAGAAGTACAGGGGTTCATGTAAAAGTTCCGTGAGCCATACCAACAGTGATGAGTTGGGCCTATAAGACCGTTAGCGGGGCGAGGCGCGCATCCAGAAAGGAATATACAAACCGGCTGGTAATGGGTGAACCCCAGTGTGGGCATGTCCTTGTACTGGAGGGCAAACTCCTGGAGGTTCTGAATGACCTTGGCCAGCTTGGGAAGAATGAGGTCCAGAGCACGCTGCAGGAAGATCAAGTCGGCATTGTCGGTGACTGCGGCGTGTGAGTGCACTGGTAAATGTGGGGAAGACATAAGGTAAAGGGGAAAGTTCTAGGATTCAGGGGTAACGCCAAAATTAAACTGACCGTAGCAGCTCGTCGCCTGTGACATGTTAAAAAGAAATTCTGATAGTATAGATAGGTTTGCGTTGATTCTCACTTACACCCAAGTGGATATGACCTCCCGCCGCCGGGGCATCCTGGGTGCCGTCTGGTTAGCTCCCCAAATCCAGCAAATCGTCAAACCAGGATAGAAACTATTATCTCAAGAACGCCGGGAACGTACAGCCGAAAAACTAGCAACGCATGCCATAACGTCATGGGTTCGGAACGTTAGTAGAGCAGGAGAATGGTGGCGAGGGTGTACTTATCGGTACTTGGCTTCGTACTCCCGCGCTACATCGAAGGCCTGGTCCGAAACTACCAAGTTGGCGCGCATTTGCTCGATAGCTTCGTCCGGAATGGGAAGCCCCAGCTCCTTCTCGGCCTCGGCAAGCCAAAGCCAAAGCTGTCGCCAGGTGCTGGAACGTGTCCGGGCTGAAAATAAAGAAAGCATGTCTTTACTCGCGTACCGCGAGCCGAGGGGCGTCTGAGGTTTTGGTTAGCAGCCTCATTCTAGCCTTGGAGCAGAGTCAACTGAGAACTTGCCTGGTAAGTATCGTAGCTACTCATCTTGCTGTTTCTTTCTCTTCTTTTCCTTGCCGATGTTTGAATTTCCCAAAGCAGAAATTGAGCGAAATGTGCTGAAGGTTGATGACTGCGGGGGGTTAAGTTATCGGCCCCACTAAAAATATCGGTTCTGCCAAGCACGGGTGAGCGAAATGTCTAGCTCCACACCTTCTTCTCAAGCCGAAATGCACTCGTTTCTTCTACAACGAATAACTAACTAATTACCTCTTCGTATTTCAGCTCATAACGAGTCAAATCCTCTAGAACGAAACAAAAGTCATTTAGGTGGCCAAATGAGCTGGTTTCCCTTGATTGTATTTTCTCTTCTATTTCTTGAACTAGGGCTCTTTTTTTTTACTTCTCTTTTCCTTTTCTCTCTGTCTCTCTCTCTTTTTGATCTCTTTCTCTCCCTCTCTCTCTATCCTTGCAACCCGTAATTGGGCTGCTTGCGCAGCTGTAGGATTAGTTCGACTGTTGACGGTATCAGTTGTCTGTTGTCCTGGCACCGGGCAGAAGATATAAAATACACGGGGTTTTACATACCGTTGGCGGCGTACGGCGAGAGGATAGAGATCTTGACAGGGTCGACCCCCTCGTGGACGAGCTCAGTTGCAATGTCCAAGGCGGCTATACTCTGGCCCCGACTCCTCTTCGAGCCGGTCCGCTCGTCGATATGGACGACTGCGCCTTCGCAGTGTACGAACACGGGTAGCATCTTGCCGGCAGGGGGTGGGCGAACGGACGGACGCCTCTGCATCACTCTCTCCAGAATGCGGCCAGCCTGAAACTCGTGTCGATGGATGGAGCACGACGCGGCGTAGGTGAAATTGACCTCTTTGTAGAGGTGCTCGGCCACCCAGTCGAAGAGCCCGTCCGCCATCCGAAGCCAGACCCGCAGGCGATACACTGGCCACCCATTCATGAGTAAGAAGACCAAACGGAGAGATCGCGCTATCGTCGGCGAGGCTATTATAGAGATTCCCTTCGGAATCCGTTTCGTTGCCCGTCATTACGGTTGGCGGGAGCTGGCGTGGGTCGCCGCCGAAGAACACTGGCAGGAGACAATTTCCCCAGACACAACCAAGATCGCCGCGGTGCATGTTGCTTGCCTCGTCGATAAGAACCGCTTGAGCAGTGCGCTCTACCCAATCCCTATACCCACGCTTCATCGATTGCGCGGGTGTCATCGCTAGGCCGGCTACCGCCATCAAGGTCGTCTTGCCAAACCCAGGGGGCTGTAGGAAGTTAGGACAGCTCAGTATACAGTTGATCTTGACCACTTACCGCGATGATAAGACCGATACCCAGAGTCCTGTTTCTCAGGCACTCGTGGAATGGGCCCCGGTCACTGGGGAGCACCTCTTCGAACAGTGCGTTGATGTACGCCTTATCTGCGCGGGCGAGAAAGTCGGCCACAGGAAGCGGCCGGGCGGTACGCATGGGCGTTACCTTTGTCGAGGCGGACGCCATCGTGTACACAGGGCGCGTCATCCAGTCGTAGAACCCTTGCCCCCGCATGACCGCGCGATGGAGGGCCATGGTGTCTTCCCGCTCGGCAAGCTCGGCCGTGCTGGGCTGGTAGGGGAGGACGCGAGTCGGCTTCGCGTCAGGGAGGTACAGGCACGCGGAAGAGACCCTGCGGCTGGCGTCATCGAGGTCGAGAGGGAACTGGAGGGAGACGGTGTGCTAACCTGTCCCCGCCGCCGCCGTCGCCCCGGCCCCGTCTCCGTAGGCAGAACCCGTCGCCCCAACCCCGCGGGCAGCACCCCTAGCCCCGTTGGCAACCCGGCGATTAGCAAACGTCCTGGGCACGAAGCTTGGGTCCATGAAGCCGGGCACCTCCGCGGAAAGGATCACCTCGTGTGCCTCGACCAGGTGGTTGGCGCGGAGGTCGTCGTCCGGATACTCGATGATGGTGCGGTCCCTGTACTAGGATCAGCAGGTGGCCGTACTACGCGCAACTGGGCAACAAACATACCAAGATTCCTCCACCTCGTCGTGGAACAAGAGACGCACTTCACAATCCTTCGCCAACCGCCGCCAGGCAGCGCCGTACTTGTCCATAAACTCCCGAGCCAGAGCAACAACAACGTAGTACCGGCCGTGGCCGCGATCTACGAGATAGGCCGGTGACCTAAACCTCCCGTATGGCTTCGGATGCTTGGTGGATCCAGAAGATATCCTGGACGACAGACTGCGTAACGACGGCAACGTGCGAGTCGTCCTCGTCGTAGCTATATGACCACCGGTCAGCATCATGATTCAACACTGGCAAGCGTATTGGTGGGGGTCTCGTCTTACGCGTACGCTGCCCGAAACTTTTCAGCGCTCTTGGTCCTCTCGAGTAGGTCGGCGTAGAGGGTTAGGCCTGCAGCCCCCTTGTTCTTGGATGGCCAGTGGTGCTCGGTGCCGTAGGGGTAGCTGAACGGCGGTGGGAGGCGCATGTCGTTCCATTCCTTGTCGATAGTTGCCAGTGGCGCCCGTATGGCAAAATAGAATGCCCTCTAAGCGAGGAAGTCCAGCAGGGTGAGTTCCCTTACCATGGGGGTGTTCCGGTTGACCCAGCCCTCGGCCGCTGGTTGCTCTGGGTTTTTGTACGGCATGCCAAAGCCATCAACCCGGACGCGTGCGCCTTCGTGCAGGCGAACAGAAATGAGGGTAAACCGCTCGGCGCCAGGGAACCGGTTTAGAAACGCAGGTGAGGCTTGTTCAGCGGTCATGTCCACCTGGCCACGTGGGAACTTGATATCCACCGGGTGTACCTCCTACCCAACGATGTCAGCACTTTCCTCTCATTCGGGGCAGCAGGGCCAGCTCTAGAATAGAGAGGCAGCCGTGGGAACCACAAATCTTCTTGAATATAAAGAGCACTAATGTATCTACCTACCGATTGCACGAAACCTTTACCGGCTTCAATTTTCCGGTCGACTGGGCATGGTTAGCACGATAAGATTTGATTACAAGACAGCACTTACGGTTATACCTCACACCAAAGCCCCTCTTCTCGTTCACCGCTTGGCCGGATTGTAGTGGGAAACGCAGGGTGAACCCTATCCAAGGGTTGGTGTGGGGGTATCGGCAGGAAATCGCGCTGGCGCCGATGGTCGTCGGGGTACCGAGAAGGCTGCCACCGGCGATCACGGGAGCAGAGGGATCATTCCCACCACCACCGCCCAACACCACGCACTGCTTAAATCAGACGGCCAAAGTGGGTCGGCTGGGCCCTCCGGAACTCGCGTTGTTGTTCATGTTGACTAAGAGTCGGTTAACATAAAGGCAGCTGGGGATGTAAGGAACAAGGACTTACCGGTGTTTACCTCCGAAGAGCGTAAACGGACGAAATTCTTGCTGCACAGTCAATAAACAAGTCCGCGCGGTTGGGACTAAATTAACAGACACATACAATTGTCTGTCTTCAAGAAGAACAGACCGGCTGAGCCAGCGAGAGACGTGCGCGCTCGAAATCGGTTTTTCTTTTCTTTTTTAAAAAGATAAAAAGAAAAACAATGGGGAGGGAGAAAAACGGCTTTCTGGGCTGGTATTGTGGCGGCAGCTCTTTTCATCGCGCTGAGAAACCGACGAAAGAAAACAGCTGGAGGTTGGGAATAGAAGAAAGTTGGGAACAGGACGGGGTCGCGTGGTGGAAAACTTATGGACTCAGGCATCGAAATTATCACAACTCGCGTCAACCAATCACAGCGCTTAGTACTCCAGTTCCTCCAGTTCCTCACTGCAACAAGCCGGAAGGTGCAAGAACTTATCAACCTATCCCACCTTGGTCGGGATGCGACCAAGATCGGGCAACAGCTGATACTCCTATATATGAACTGTTATTCTTCTCTCTTGCCTCGATGTACACAGGCTATAGACAGTGGTGATCCGACTTTACCAATGGTCGGCATAAAAGGCCGTGATTTGAGTTTATGTGCTTTGTGACTAACTAGATATTTTTTTTAAAAAATTTCTTTTTGCAACTGTTACATTCAACTTGCCCATGCGTGATCGACTTGATATTGCCTCTAAGCGGTTTGCTTGGCCATCGGCTCGGGCCGCGCCCGTGTGGGGCTGCCAAGGCCTGACCACTCGTTACGGTTCCTGGTCAGTTCCTCCTTCTCGCCATTCGTTTCCAACCGTCCAACGGTGAGCCAGCTAATTCGCTTGCTCTCTGGCGGAGCCCCCTTGGCTGACCATTCAGATACCCGTCGGCAACGACCTCTGCCTCCGCCGATCAGCATCGACCCGCGGGCGAGGTCCTCCGCTCGAAGCGTGACTGGGACAAAGGCATCCGCCGCCCCCTAGCCGCCCTCTCGCCAATCGTCAACGTAGAAAAAAGACACTGCCTTTCTCCAGATGCTTGGGACACATCATTCTAAGATGATGATTCTCATCCAGCACGATGACGCAACCCGGACTGCCATCCATACATAAGCACGATTTTACCCGCGACGGGTTTGAGCACTGCGCTACGGGGGATGTCTTGGGACCCCCGAGGCTCGCTTATCGCCAGCGTACCAGGCCGACACATATTCGACGAAGAAGATTCACCCACTTGGTAGTTCTCGGTAGCAATGAGTCGAGCCTTCGAAGCTGTCCCTATTTCGCTAAATATGGTAGTGGGGGGTCCCATGAGTCGGGCCGATCCCCCAAGTCGGGTGCGAAACGGCAGAAGCCCGGCGAAGCCAGAGATGATAACGATCGCGTCACAGAGGAGGAGATGATTAATGCCGTATAGACATGGAAGAGCGGCGAGGCCCAGACACCACCCTAGCAAGCGACATTCTGGTGAAGGCTATGGACAATGATGTGATAATGTTGGGGGTAGTATTGTTTAGCCCGATTGGACATAACAAACGTGACGTAGGACGACTCCCTCGGTGCGATCAGCAGGGGACGTTTATCGAAGATGCTCTGAATGTCACTCCGCAATGGAGGATCATGACCGTTTAAAAGAAAATAAAATCTTACTTTTGTTTGCTTCTCTCCTGTTACTTCGTTTCCCCTTTTTTTCTCTCTTGTTTTTCCTCCTTTTTTATTAAAGAAAAGAAAACAAATTGGTTCCTATTCGTTGTTATTTCTTCTATCTCGTCTGCTTTACTTCTTATCTCTTCTTGTTTAGTCCATTGACCTTTCTTTTCTCTTCTTCTGCCGCTAGTTGTGTACCTTTGAAACTTAGGGGACATCTTCCTATAGTTAGGTGGCTAGCTAGCATCCTACAGAGCTGTCCCCAGGGGAGGCTACATGTTGGGGTGTGCACACAAGAGATGGAGTGAGGTGGGGGAGGAGATGGAGAGGCCGCAATTCCAAGCCTTCTTTTTATCTGCTCTATAGATGCCCAAGATCCGATTTGGTAACTAGACACCAGCAACTAGCTTCCCCAGTCTATGTTGTGTATAAAGATGACTCCGCCATTGCGTTGTTAAAGATGGTCGTCCAATCCATCACCCCATCACCAAACATAAACGAATCCAACGACGGGTCCCCCGGGTCGTTCCCTTGCCACCCAAAGTCCTCTAGCAACTCAACCGCGGCGTCCGATAGTGTCATGGGTGCCGGGTCGTACACCCTCGCAACCTGTGAAGCCGCATATTCGCTGTCGACCTCGCTAGTCTGTTGGGAAACGGTCAGTCAGTCGCCACCCCTCCTCTTGTTTCGGTGTCCTAGGAATACTCACATTAAGAAGGTCCATGACGTTGCGCACCTTCCTTGCTAACCTATCGTATGGATCCGTATAGCCTTCTACCTCCGTGCTCACTGTCACGCCACCCCCAACCCCTTGCCCGCCCCTCGCCCGTTTCCGTTTCACAGCCATGTACTCCATACGATTCATCAACTGCGACATATGCTCTGTAACAACACACACAACGTCAGCCCAGGTCACTCCCTCTCAACATCCAACCGAAAAAAAAAAAAAAAAAAAAAAAAAAAGATATAAAAAACAAAAAAAAAGGGAAAAAAGGAAAAAAGCCACTCACCATGAATATGCAACTCCTCCCTCACCCTCGCCAAATCCAGCCCGGGCACCTGCATCGTCGACAGTTTCAACATGGTCAAAAACACATACGTCAGATCAAACGACGTCAGGCAGACATAGCGGCCGGGTAGTCGTCGATCTCGCGGGTTGTAGCGCTTCGTCATGAAGGCGTCCACCAGCCGGATGCACTCCCACAGGATGCGCAGCCGCTCCGTGTCGGCGCCGCCCTCGGGCCCCAGCGGCGGAGGCATGGCTGTTGGGGCTGCTGGCTCGCCGGGCCGGCTGCTGCTGGAGAAGAGGGGTCGTTGTTGTGGGTGGTGGTGGTGGTGGCAGAGTTCTTCGACGCTGCTTTCGTAGATCATCACTTCGGCGACGAGGAGGTGCCCTTCGAGTGAGCCTGGGGGTGGGGGGATGTGTTAGTGGGAGGGGCATTATTTATAGGGGTTTTGTTTATACCGGCTGGGGATGGGTGGGTGGCTGGGCATGAAGGCGGGGAGAAAGGGGGAAGGAAGGGGGAATGAGGGAGGAAGGGGGACGCACGATTGGTCTTGATGTGCGGCGGCAGGGCGGCGGCGAACCCGCGCACGCGCTCCTGCAGGCCCTGGATAAAGGCAGTTTGCGGGATCCGGTTGTCGCTCGGGACGGCCTTGCGGCGGTCAAAGGCCAGCGTGATGCTCTGGGAGAGCTGTTGCGCCCGGCAGAGGTGGACGAGGAGCTCGTCGGTGGGGTACTCCATCTGGCCGAGGAGCACCCGGCAGCAGGTGGCGAGGTAGGGTGTGTTGACGTTGTTCATGAGGGCGTCGGGCCGCTTGTTGGTGGTGAAGGTGCTGTGGCGCTGGTGAGCAAGGGGGTTTCCGACCTCAGAAGCTTAACAAGGCAAGCAGAAGGGGGGCTTACATTGTCACCATATAGTAGGTCCCGACAAATACGCGCATCCGCTCGAGACTCTCGGAGCTGTATCCTTCCTTGCCTGGTACACCTTTTGTTTCGGCGGTGGCAAGGTTCGTGTTTATGGACCGGGCGAGAAAGAGTAGCCGCGTCATTTGCACGCTGGTGAGGCTATTGTGGTACCTGCGAGAAGCGTTTAGCATTGGCACGCACCTCAGCCGCCGAGAGGACCACCACTCACCATCCTATAAACATGAGCAACCCTTGCAGCAAGTCGATGCTGTTCTGCGCCTTGACAAAGGCAGCCTCCGAGAGCTCTCTCAGCAGCTCGTCTCCCATGGCGGCTTGCCGCCGCCCGTCAAAGAGGCACGCCTCCAGCACGACCACCTTCCAGAAGAAAGGCCTCTCCTCTCGCATCTGGGCCGAGGTTAGGTGGGGAGGCGCGATGGCGAACGGGAACAGATGGCCCATCTTCTCCCGATACAACCCCAACAGGCTCTCGGCCTCCTCTCCTTGCGGCCATGGATCGCTATAGTTTTGCTGTGGTAGTGGTTGGGGGTATGGCTGCTGGTAGGGAGACGAGGTTAGGGAGCCGGATGTCGTCGTGAGGGCTGGTGTGAGCCCTGAAGGGGCGGATGGGGAGACGGCTCTGGCGGCGGGCGGTTGGTGGTGCTCTGGTTGAGCGTCGAAGATGGACCGCTCTGGGAAGATGTGCGCAAACGGGGAGTTCCAGCGATCGCGGCCAAAGGTGGGCATGGGCACCTGGGTCCCAGAAAGGTTCCTCGGCGGCAGGGGGTCGTCAGGGTCAGCCGGGGCGCCGACGGAAATGGAAGGAAGGCCATAGTGATCCGAGTTGGACGGGCTCGGTGCTGGGACCTGCCGTTGGACAGACTCCATGCGGGCGGACAGGTCCTCAAGCCGCCTCTCGAGCTCTGCCACCCTCGTGGGTTTTGGCTCCTTGCGCTTCCGCGCTGGCGCCGGGGTCTGCGAAGAGCACGGTTTCTTTAGACGGTGGCATCTTGAGACAACGAGTTAGCGCTGCTAGCCTTGAACGGGCCGTGGAGTGTCACTAGGAAAGGAAGCTCGGCGGGAAGCCAACAGCCGAAAAGCGGTACCTGACAAGGCCAACGGACCCAACGGGGGCCCCCAAACTCCCCGCTGACTGAGTGACTGGGCCGGCGGGCGTGGAGAGCGTCCCACAAGTCCGCCGCACCGACGTACCGAGGTACATAACACCCCATACATGCACCACAACAGCCGCCAGGTTGCAACCGACACTTCAACTAGCGTTGGACCATAAAGAAAAGCAGCCAGACGTACCTCTCACACTTTTCCTGGCCCCTCGGCCCCGCGATACACCTGCTCTTCGCCTTCGCACAGGTCGCACAAGCCCTAGGGCCCTTCAGGACCTTGCCCGCCACGACAGGCGAGACCGACCTCGACTCCATGTTTGCCACGGCGACTCCACACGCTAACTTGTTCTACCGGGCTGCCGGGTTGCGAGGCTGCACGTGCGTCCCAATGCGGATGGGTAAGTAGCGAGGACCAGTTGTGGTGCGAGATATGCTAGGCTTGCGATGATGATGATGATGATGATGATGGGGATGATAACAATGATGATGATGATGTGAACACAAGAGCAACCCACAGCGGAGTAGAAGATTGAAGAATAAAAAAACAAAAAGAGTTATGTGCTTTCCCACCCAGATCGAAGCCGCAGCAGCGCGCGACCGTTCACGTAGGCAAGGCAAGGCAAGGTAACACGAGTATAACCCCCTTGGGTCACCAGCCAGCCCGCCAGGCAGATCTCGAATCAACCCAAGCCCACTTACAAGTAAGTCAATGCGAGTAAAGCACCAATCCTGTTGACCACGCAAGCAGCACCAAGCCTAAAAAAAATCTCGCTGGTGAACCGAACCCAGAAACAGAAGGCGTCGTCATACAGCTTACGAAAGACCTGCCCCCTCCAATCTGTACCAAGCAGCGGTTCGTGTTAGAAGCTCCCCCCGGCTCAGGCAGTGCGGATGCTACCAAAGGCCGCAAAGGCCCGCAGGGCCACGCGTGGGAAGCGGTGCTGCGCCCGACGACTTACACGTTTCTCCCCTGGGCTGGGCTGGACGTTGCATGGGGCTCTGCCGGCTGTGTGGTTGATGGAGCGGAGAGTCAGGCCGTCTCCGGCTCCGTCGGGGCGATCTGCTTTGCTCCGGCTCCGTTCGTGGCGGGGGCGGGTGTGGCGCTGGGTTGTGAGCTGGACTGGGATTGGGTAGGACGAAAAAGGAAGTGTGGCAGAAGAAGAGGACTTGTTTTAGCCGATCTTGGAGATTGACAGGGACGGGTAGCGAGGTGGCTGTGCTTTGCGGTCTGGGGTCTGGGGCTGGATCTCAACCGCATGAAACAGACGTCCTCGGACTCGATCTCTAATCTCAAATTAGTCATTGGCTACAGTATGAGCGTAGGATTGAAGCTGTTGACGATCACAGCTTGGCTACGGGAGCTTCGGCACGGCCCAAAGCCCGCAGCCCGCGGCAGCCCGAAGGCTTCGCATTCAGGGGTACAAGAAATGGCAAGTTTGGCCTCTCAACCCGAGAGGCCAGCCAATGAATGGTCTTCGTGTATTGATGTTCTCATAAACAATGTTTTGTCCAACACCACCACCAAGATGGGTCTGGCACCGCCCACCGAGGCAAGAACAGCCGGGAGAGGACGGAGCGAGACAGGAAAGCAAAAAGCCAACAGTGCTGTATCTCGACTCACGAGGCACACAGCATAATACACCAGGCACAGGCAAAGAACCAAAACCACCAAATCGCTTTAAACGCAAAATGCCCCATGTTTGCTGCTCGCTCGCTCCAAGGAACGTGTTTCACGTCTCTGGTCTGGAAAAATAAAACACAATAACAAAAACACCACCACCATGCGATCTAGTGAGCGACAGCCAAGACAGACGGAGTAGGGTGAGCTCCCCAGGGATGAAAGCAGCAGGGGCACCCGGACACAGATAGGCCGGCAGAGAAGGGAAGAGTGTGTCTCCGGAATCGGGACTCAAAAAAGCGAAGCCTAAGCGGCGACGCTAGCGCTCGTGAGCCCCTTCATCTCCTTCGCCAGGAGCCTCTCCGTAAAGCCGCCCGTCAGAGGGGCGGTCTTCTGCTCGGCCTCGGCGGCCTGCAGCAGCGTGCGCGCCGCCTCGGCGATGCCCAGCTGCTCGTCCGTCCAGAGCGGCTCCTCGGGCGCGGCATCCGGCACGCCGACGCCGATGAAGCCGCCCTCGGACGCCCAGTCGCTGGTGCGTTTGATGCCGAGCTCGTTCCAGATGCTCTCGATCGCGTTGACCAGCTCCTCGCAGTACTCCCTAGTGTAGCCCGAGCGTGAGGAGTGACGCGCAGGCGCTCCTGGCCGACGAGGACAGTCGAGTAGTTGATGCTCTGCACGTAGATGCCGTGGTCCTGCAGGAGCTTGTCGCTGGCCTGCTTGGCGAGCTCGGCGTTGCCGACGAGAGATGAGTACGATGTAGCTCGGATTAGAGATCACGGAGATGCCACGCTCCTCGAAGAGCTTCCTTCTCCGCGCGCGTGTGCAGCTGCTGCAGCCGCCGGTCGCCCTGGTGTTCCATCAGGTACTCGATGGCCGCGCGTGCACCGGCCATGACGGCGGGCGGGAGAGAGGTAGTGAAGATGAAGCCCGGCGCGAGCGAGCGCACGGTGTCGATGAGCTTGGCGTTGCCGGCGATGTAGCCGCCCACGCAGCCGTACGCCTTGCCCAGCGTGCCGGTGATGATGTCGATGAACGGTCCATGATGGTCCCGCGGGGCCGCCCCTGGACGTGCGCCTCGTAGTCTAGGTGTTCCGCTACGCCCGCGCCGTGCGGGCGTACATGCCGACGGCGTGGACTTCGTCGAGGAAGGTGAAGGCGCCGTACTTGTCGGCGAGATCGCAGATCTCCTCGATGGGGCCGATCGAGCCGCACATGCTGTAGACGGACTCGAAAGCGATAATCTTGGGGACGTGGAGCGGCAGCGACGCCAGCTTCTCCTCCAGGTCCTGCACGTCGTTGTGCTTGAAGATGATCTTCCTCGCGCCCGAGTGGCGGATGCCCTGGATCATCGAGGCGTGGTTCAGGCTGTCGGACAGGATGACGCAGTCGGGCATCTTGCTGCCGAGGGTAGCCAGAGTGGCATCGTTGGACCACGTAGCACGAGCTGAAAACCAGCGCGGCTTCCTGCGCATGGAGCTTGGCGATCGTCTGTTCCAGCTCCACCGCGTGCTTGTTGTGTCCGGAGATGTTGCGCGTGCCGCCGGCGCCGGCGCCGTACTCGTCGAGGGTCTCGTGCATCGCCTTGAGAACGCGCGGGTTGCGACCCATGCCCAGGTAGTCATTGGCGCACCAGACCGTGACCTTCTCTTCCTTGCTCGACATGTGCGCGCGGGGGAACTCCTTGGCCAGGCGGTTGATGTTGTTGAAGTACCGGTACGACTTGTCCTTGTGCTTCTTCTCCAGCTCGCAGTTGTAGAAGCCGTCATAGTCAAACTTGCCGCCGCGGGCGGTCGGGGCGGCGGGGCGCGTGGTAGCAGCCGGGCTGGCGCTGGCGTGGTGCTTGGTTGGAAGGCGAGGAGGCAGCTGGACTGCAGGTCGAGGAATGGTTAGCAAAGGGGGTTTCTCTATCAATGGGTGTGCGCAATTTGGCAAAACAGGCATGCCAACTCACCCTTCTCGCGGCCGGTATAAACGGCGCCATCAACGGCCTGGGCTTCCTGAGGGCGGCTGGTGTGCAGCTTCGCCTTACTGGTCTTCGCATGGCCATGGAACGTGGACATGCCGGCCTTGGCGGCGACGCTGGGGAAACCAGCGCCGTGGCCAACGCGGGCAGACTGGACAGCCATGGCCTTGCCCATGACCGGGCAGCGGCGGGCGAGCACCTGCAGCTTGGACATGGCGCCACCGCAGGGTGACACGGCAGTCGGGGTGGCCGTCGACATGGCACGGAGCCCCGCGGCGGTGGCTTTCTTCATGAAGGGGCACATGGCCTTGGACTGGCGTAGAACAGAGTCCATGATGGCGATGATGGTGTCGTGACAACCCAATTCGCTCGTATCGCTACGTTTGGAGCCGGTGTTGTCAGGTAGAGTTGTTGAAGGTTGTTGAGGATTTGCGCACGGGTTCCGTCAACAGATGTTTAACAGCGGGGGCGGGGGATAAATTCCTCCTCGGGAACAGGCAAAAAGAAGAAAAAAAGAAAAGAGACTTCCGTTCCTGAGAGCGGCAAGACCCCAATCAAGGAGCAAAAACCAGACAGCACGCGAGCACGGGATGTACTAGCACAGCAGAACTACCACGCAGAGACAATGGCAAATTTTGGTTGGAAAGGAGGAGAGAATTGGCCAAAAGTCAAAAGCCAAAAGTCGAAACTCGAACGGCTTCGGTTACGGTACGTACAAGGGCCATTCTGTGCCTGTGATCCACTTTCTAGTGGGGACGCACTTTCTGGAACTCGCACGACTCGGAGTCTCGGGATCTGTGTCCTCTTCGTCAATGAGCGGCTGGCCATTTTCACTTTTGATAAATCCGCCATTTCCCATTGGCCATGACTTGCACCGCCCACCCCACGACTCTCAAGTCACCGTAACTTCCGGCGTTACACCCACCCGCCGAACCCCGCGGTATCGGAGACTTGTACGGCGTGTTACACCCCGGAACGGCCACGTTTTCAGGGGACTTGCCTCGGCTGATGTTACATTTTCGAAAGTCATCCATCGACTCACACGCATCCTCCGGAGCCATTGCAGACCGCAAACTGTCCGTACAGACATAATCTATCCATAACTGTATACGCGGTTAGCTCAGTCAGCGAACGGCTCTCGGAAATTGAGTTTTTCATCTCGGTTCGAATCAACCGACCACTCTCTGCCCAGCATGTAGAAGCGGATCTCAAGATTATTTTACGTGTATAATTTGGTAAGCAGGTATGTATTCGTAGTTACTCGTACAACACGTCTAACGAACCCCCAACATAACAAGCAGTAGTAAGCTGGTGAAAAACCGACGCACGCCAATGGCCCCTGTTTCCCACCGGCCCTCCTTCTCCGTTCCCCTACTCCCCAACGTGTTTGCCTGCCTAAAAACGCCAGGATGCAAATGTGAGGGTATCTCAAAAAGAAAAAAGAAGCATAGCCGCCATGAAAACGCAAAGATCCGCAAATACTTCCGTCAGTCAATAACCTGCGGAGAGTCGGCTGAATCTCCCGGGTTCGCCGCCCGGCGGCGGTCCTGCGGGGTGGCAGGGTCCTCCGCTTCCGATCCAGACCCGAGAAACCGCAGGGCCCTTCGGTTCGCCCCCTTCCTTCACCCCCTCCCCCAGCTCCCCTCCTCCCGTGCGCCCGCCTCTCCGTCCCCGCCTTTGCTTTCGCCGCCGTCGCCGTCGGTCAAGTCGGCTCGCATTTGCCTGTTCGTTTTGTTTTCATCATGTCAGTGGCTCGCTCTGCCGAAGAAGAGAAAAAAAAAACGCTGTCAGGTGCTCTTGGTGCCGGTGGTGCATACGTTGAGATCGGCCTTGGTCGTCCAAACTCGATGTTTGAACTCGGCCTCGGCCAGGCTATCCAGTGCGGCCGATACCTCCTCCATCTCCAGCCTTGTCATGGACGCAAGCTGCTCGGGGTCCATATACCCCGAGAGCATCGCTTCCGCGAATCGTGCGTTGCGTGTGCATTTCTTGACGTTCTGGATCTTGTCCATCATGGGCAGCTGCTCAATCTTGTTGCGGGCCCACACGCTCCTGACCCTGTTAATGAGATCGCCTGGGTGGTACCGCACGTGGCGGCCTACTCCGCTCAAGGCGCTGTGGACGGCCAGTAAGTCCGGGAAGTCCGAGTCCGAGAGCTCTATGGCCGCGGTCGGGGTAGTCGGGTTAGCCAAGCTCGACGACCCGTTCGGCGCTGCTGCTGCTGCTGCTGCTGCTGCTGGTGGTGGTGGAGTGTGCGGGACTTTAAAGTGCGTACCCGGCGCGGGGACGGGCTGAGGCGCAGGCGTGGGCTCCTGCGCCAAGGTGTTGTTTACATCGCCCAGGCTTGGTGTCGGGATGGCTTGCGTCATGGCTGCATCGCTCTGGGTTGTTGGTGGCGGAACGAGTGCTGGAGCCATAAAAGTCGGGGGTTGGGGTGTGAGCGGAGCGGCTCGGCCGATGGGAGCTGCATTAGAAGTTAAGGTTAGTACTTGCTGGTGGGTAGAGTCGTCGTCCGCCTGAATAGACGGGGGCGTTTGGGCGGAAGAAGTAGCGTCAGAAGCCGTGGCGGGAGCCGGTAGTTTTCCCCTGCGTCCCTCCCTCATGTGCTCTGGCACCTTGATCCTCAAGACGGTATTGCCCCCAGGGCCCGCGCTTAAAGATGCTGATAGAGACTCACCATCGGTGGGGTGGGCGTTGGTAAAGACCGAACGGCGCCGGGGGAGGCGACGTGGCCGACCACAACGCCCGCTCGTGCTCCCGACGCTTTGAATTCCTCTGGATTTCGGGACCGGAGCCGCTCCATCTCGATGTCTTTCTCGGCCTGCAGCTTCTCCTCGGGAGTGAGCTCGTACGTCTCTTCCCGTTCGAAGGTCTCGGTAGACGTGATATTCCGCATCAGCTGGCTTATCTCCTCGCTTTCGAGGAGCACATCTAGGACTTTGTCGTGGCCGAATGACCCGGACAGGTCCTCCTGGTCCACCTCCCTCGGCATCTTGAAATAATCGCTGTACCGTGTCGACCAAGGGTCGGGATTCTTCTTGTCCACTACCCGCTTGGCCAGCTGGGCTTTGAAGATGGCATTGTTGTGGATGGTGTCTTCAAACGTGCCGCCAACGGTCAGCCAGTAGACGTACACCGGCTTGGTCTGGCCGAGGCGGTAAGCCCTTCCGATCGCTTGCTGCTCGTCGGTCGGCGAGTACTTGAAGTCGAAAATGACGACCCGGTTCGCACCGTGAATGTTGAGCCCGACACCACCAGACCTGGTGGAGACCAGGTAAACCTGGGACTCTGCGTCCGTGTTGAACTTTTTGACCGAGGCTTGCCGTGTCGACATCTTGGTGCTGCCGTCCAGCCGTTGGTAAACTACCCTCTTCCGCTTGAAGATGTTCTCGATATAGTCTAGCGTCGGGATGCTCTGCGAGAACACCAGGACTTTATCTTTTGCTTTCTTGCACTCGTCCAAGATTCGTAGGAGGACGACGATCTTGTTAGAGAGGGCGTAATCTTCAATCTCGCGGAACGAGACGAGGGCAAGCAGGTCGCTCCGCACGTGCTCTGGCATATCCAGCTCGTCCCCGCCTTCAGGCTTGGATGACTTGGCTTTGGCTTCCAGCATGGTCTTGAAAATGAAGGGATGGGCGAGGACAAGAGTGAGTTTGGCCACGAGACTCCATGCCATCGCTTGGTTGTTTTTGATCTCGCTAGAATGACCTGTCGTCCACTCGATGTACGCCCTATACACGCGCATCTGGACCTTGGTCAAAGGAAGCGTGATGATAAACTCCTTCTTTTTCGGGAGCTCGTTGAGTAGAACTTTCAAGTCTCTTCGGGTGCACTTTGGGGTCTACCGTCTCTTTCAAGACGTGAAGCATCCGCCGCGCCTTTCTCTTTTTTTGAGGCTCGCTGTCGACATATAACCCTTCTCTGATCGGGTTCCAGAATCTTTCCCTGAACTCAGCAATGTCGGCCAAGTAGTTGGGGGCTACCCAATTGATCATGGCATAATAATCCATTACGTTGTTTGTGAGAGGAGATCCCGTCATCGCGATGCGGCTTGTTGTCGCGAAATTGGCAGCGGCTTGATGTCTCAGAGATTCCGGATTCTTGATGTAGTGGGCCTCGTCGCTGATGACGAGATTAGGGGTCTCCTGTAGGAGTTTGGCCATGTCCTCGCCTGAATTGACGAGGATGGTGAACATGGTGTAGCCGAGAATCAGCACCCCGCCAGACGCAGCCCAAGTTTGGATCACACTCTCGCGCGAAGACGGGGTATTTTGCGTCTCTAGCGTGTGCACCGGTCCCAGCACCTCATCCGGAGCCCACATGCGAATCTCATCTTGCCAATTGTCCACCAAGCTCGGAGGGCAGAGTATCAACGTCCTGGACTCCCGCAGACTCTCGGGGATCTGAGAGCGTATAGACTCGTCCGGCGACGCGGACGACTCGGCAACGACTACCAAGAGGGTGATCACCTGCATCGTCTTCCCCAGGCCCATGGTGTGTGCAAGCAAGCAACCTTGGCGGAAGCTCGAGTCGACGACGACCTGGTTCCACATGAAGCGAACCCCGTCGATCTGGTGGTCTTTGATCCTGCTCCCGATATGGTCATTGATATATATCAGCGCCTGGTCGTCAGACTCCTTGGACTCGTTGATGATGAGACGAGCATGTTTGCTGGAAACCGAACCCTGTTGGGCGAGTCTTTCGCGCAGTTCGCGGGCGCGACGCGCATACTCTTCGTCGCGCTTCAGGTTCCCCCTCCGAAGATGCAGGGCGTTTGTGTCCCGCCGTTTGCGCCGCCGCCGCTTCTTAGTCGACGGTATCGGCATCTCATCCGACGAAGACGCATCTGTGCTACTGTGGTCGTCTGCGGGCTCTTGAGTTCTCCTTGAGGGCGTCGGGGTGCTTGGGGTCCCGTTTGGAGGCGTCCTGAGCACGATCCGGGTCGGTGTCTCCGGGGCCATGCCCAGAAACAGGGGAAGGATCCTCTTGAGAAATGCACAGAAGCCAGCAAAAGAATCTCCCAGACGGCTCAATCTGTTGCGCGTCGTAAGCCTCAGAGTCCGTAGGGAGATCCTTTTGGCAGATTTCGAGACGAAAACGTCGAAAAGGCGACAGAGATAGAACGCCACCGGGTCGGTGTTGTCGGCATGGGGATCTGCCGGGGCGCCCAACGTCGGCTCCATGTACTGGGGCCATAAATCCCTGTGGTCGCTGTTCTTGATTCCCCTATACATTTTAACGATCCTATCACGGGGCCACCCGCACAGCACCGCCACCACAAGCCGTTCGGGCATCGTTGGTCTTTTCCCAATAGTCCAGACCAGCCTCTCCAATCTTCTCGAGACTGTCAAGATCGTTGAATTCCGGAATTTGGTCAAGCTCTTGGAGTGGTGACGGAGGGGACGACTCAATCACGATGACATCATCGGCCGAAGCCCCCGTTCGACGGGGAGGTACTGGCACCACCAACTTCTCGACTTTGATCCTCGGAGGCGTAAGAGGCGCCAGCGCTGGGCCAACTTCAGATTCCTCAGTCGAAGGTGTTGGTTTCGTCTGACTAGGACCGGCCCCAGTGCTGCCACCGGGCGCCACAGAAGCACTGCGGCGCGAAGTAGGTTGGGGAGCAACGGCGTTTCGAAGCGGCTCTGGATCGATATCCATGTCGTCGTCATTGGCAATCGGAAGGACAACATCATCATATTCGATGAATTCATCCATATCATCCGAGTCGCTTGTTAGCACCTCCTCGTCGTCATGGACGCTCGCTGGCTTCGCTGGCCGGGGTGCCGGGCGAGGGAGGGCCGACGGCCGCGGCGGTTGGAGTGGACTCTCAATCAATTCAATCACCCAGGCTTAGTGCTTCTTGTCGAAAACGGTCGCCTCCAGGTACCCAGACGCTTTCTTCTGGACGTTGTCCCCGACAGTCCACGGTGATTGATGATATGCTGAGAGAGGGACGCGATCCCGGCCGGCGAAGTGGTCCAAGTCCCTCCTCACCGAGTCGATAAAAGCCGTACGGTCGGGGTTCCGGCGGGCATCCTGCCATATCTTGAAGGCTTTCAGGTCGCATCTGGGCTTCTTTTCGGCCACCCATTGTGACTCCAGCTCTTGTATGGCTATGCGGACCGCCTCGGCCGCCTCATCTTTGCTAACGACCCTTTCATTGGGAGAGATTTCACGCGCTTCCATCGCCGCACGCTCCGCCTCCTCCTGTTGGTACTCGCGCCAGGTCTCTGAGTCAACACTTTGTTCGTCGTCAGATTGCCCAATTTCCGATTCCTCTTCATACTCGTCACCACTCCGTTGAAAGCTTTCAGCGAGGTTCGTTCGCAGAAACCGCTTCATGGTCTCTGCGGCCTGTATGCGGCGCCCTGAAGGGAGCTGCCTCGGTAGCAGTGCGAACGGATGCTTGGGTGAAGCTTCCAAGTCCTCTATTTGGAGCTCGAGAAGCTGGGCGCGCCGCAGAACACCGGCGCCTAGGAAACCATAAGAATCGCTTGTTTGCAGCGTGGCCTCTGCTGTGCTTTCCAAGAACAGATCGCCTTCGGTTGGAATGATGGAAAAGGCATGGTTACCCGTGGTATCGGCAGAGAGACTTATGGGCGCAATTCTCCTCTTCTTTCTCGGCGGCTCTTCCGATGTCTCCTGTTCAGGTTCGCGGAGGATGTCTAAAACGTGGGTAGGTGTTGCTGGCAAATCGGGGTCGGCAGATGCCGAGAGTGTCGGAGACAAAACGCCGGGGTAAGTGCTCGTAAACCTTGGACCGACATGGGCATGAGAGTCGGCATCGACATCGGCATGGTGGGAGGTCGGCCCAACCAGAGGCTCAGACTGGGCGGCATGCTCGACTTCAGCTGGCTTGAATGGTTCCGATTTGATAGCCAAGGCTTTCTCTGGTTCGGCATACAACTGGCTATTAGCCAGCTGATGGGCCTTCCATGCTTGGTATCCCTCGCTGCGCCTTCTGAATTGCTTGATGGCGTCCTTCAGCGCAAGCTGGTGAGGCAGCTTTTTTACACCCAGGTAGTTCCATAACTGATCATACCCAAATTCGTCCTCATATGTGAGCAGCGACTCCCCATCAACGCCACATTCGCGAAGTTTGCTTCGAGTGCGGCAGGATCTGGTAGTCGCTTAGTGGGAGGTGGTTTCCAGGATCGATTCGCGGTGCAGAGTTCTTGTACCACCCGATCCTCGTCCCAGAGCAATGGATCGCTCTGGTCTTCCTCTGCCATCTTGGCAACCCCAGTGTCTTTGATTGGAAGTCGAGTTAGCAACCAAAGTTTGGGTCATGTAGGATGAGATTAGAGTCGTAAACATGGGCTACAAAATCAGGTCTGGAGAGGATAGTCAAGTTTTGAGGGCGAACAAAAAAGGGGATCGGTACTACCGATGAGTGAACGAATGTCGAACAAAATGCCGCTAGGAAAAAGCAGTGCAAACTCACTCTAGTTACTTACTGGCATAAAACAGGTGAGATAGTCCCTTGTTGATCTCAAGCAATTCTCATGCACGCAGCCATAAACGAAACCGATCCTCGAGCAATGGCCAGGTTGATGGTTGTTTTATTAACCCAAAGATCCAGATACCTGGTAGGTTTCATGGATCGATCCCGGGGAGAGACTGGTTAGGATGGCAGTTGGTGATCCTGTTGGCTGGTCAAGCGATAATGAATAGGTAGGTTAGGTAGGTAGGTAATTATTCGGGGTCGCTAAATTAGGTAGTGAAAAGGAGAAAAGTCGCTGGGAATGATGGTAGTATCCGACTAAGCCCCCACCGCGGTTCTCGAGATAAATATCGATGATTGCCTGATGAACGTAAAAGGGTTGATTTTCAAGAAGTGCGGTGAGTGAATGTCGGCGCTGGATCAAATTAGTTGGTGGGCCTCAGTCCTCAGTTGGTGAACTTGAACCAGGTCGCGTTGGGTCGTTTGGCGCGTCGAGTTCAGCTTCTCAGTGGCTTTGATGAACCACTTACCAGACAGTGTGTATCAAGTTACATACTGTGCCATGCTGAAGAAGAAGCGGAATGAAAGCTGAGCAGCCCAGCTGCTGTCATGCATGTTCTTCGAGTTATCAATCGTGGTGGAACAGCCAGGTAGGAATCAATAATGTAAGTAGATAAAAATATGAAGCTCTGGACCATCTTGTTGGATCTCTCAGGGCGGTTTGAGAAGTACAATTGCAAGTTGTCAAGACGGCCTCAACTGGCGTGCACTCGCTCTTTCCGCACTGTACTGCTCTGCCCCGATAAGATAACGAAACGCAAGCGCGGGGCAGCAAAGCAAAAGTGAAACCTGGCTTGTGACACTGCCCTTGGGGTGAGGAAGTTGTGTGTATTATCGTGTAAACTCGCCGTTCTCTTTCTTTTTTTCCTGGGAGCTCAGGAGAGGGCCGGCCTATGTAATCCTCGGCCAGAACACCGGGTGGATTTTGCAATTAGGCCGATTCCGGCTTTGTAAGCACCTCTCTGGAACCGCCCAGATGGTGGAGGGGCTCGAGGGCCCCGAGGGGTTCTCGGAGACAATCGTTTACAGCCCATGAAACCTTCCAGTTTAAGTTCTGCTTGAATAGATTTTAACACCCCAACACCTCGACATCATAGCCAACCAACGCCATAGCCAATACCTATCCAATCACCAAAACTCCAACAACAACAACAACACTATGTCTTCTCTGACTGGGGGTTCCTATCCCCCAACTCTGGATGATGCTCTTGAAAAAGACCGCTTGGCGCAGGCCATCAAGGACTGGACCATCGCCAATGGTTTAGCCGTCCGGCCTCCACCCGCCGTTGCGAGCAACAATCTCGAGGGAATTCTGGCCATGAGTGCCCCAGTGACTCTGTTCCCAAGCCCGTTCCCCAAAAGCTGCTTCGAGGAGGCCAAGGCCATCCAAACCAAGTACAACGAACTCTACGCTCGAATTAGCCAGGATGAGGAGTACCTCAGTGGCCTTGTACAGGAGTGGGTTACCTGAGGATTTGAAGTTTTATCACAACGTCCCCTAACGGCGGTGGCAGGGTTGCTAGCGGCGATGAGTTTATCGCCGAGCTGTGGAAGATCCACCTGCGAGTGAAGGAGGAAGGCTACGTTCAAGTAAGAACCGTCTTTTCTTCCAGGCTCGCAGCCTCTCACTCATATCTCTGGTGGTTACTGACCATCTACGATCTAGAACCTTGCTCTCGGCCTTTTCCGGTCCGACTACATGGTCCATCAGGACGGCGACAATCTCCAAATCAAGCAGGTCGAGTTCAACACCATTGCCTCTTCGTTCGGAGGACTCTCGGCGCAAACTTCCTTGCTCCACCAGTACGAAACTCCAAACAAACCACTTGAACCAGAAATCGCTCTAACACTTGCCAGACATCTCGTGAAAAACGAGTATCCCCTCCTGCAAAACTCCATATCACGTTCCTCCGTCGATCTCCCCGCTAACAATTCCGCAGAGGGCCTCGCCGCCGGCCTGGCAGCCGCCTTCTGCGCCTACGGCCAATCCACCCTCGGCCATCCAACCTGCGTCCTCTTCATCACCCAAGACGGCGAGCGCAACGTCTTCGACCAGCGCCACCTCGAATACGCCCTGCAATCCTCCTCCACCACCCCGGACCCCATCCCCGTCTTCCGCCTCCCCTTCTCCCAACTCCTCACCCACACCACCCTCGCCCCCTCCTCCCCCACCCGCCAACTCCTCTACCATCCCCCACACAACCCCACCCTCACCTTCGAAGTCGCCGTCGCCTACCTCCGCGCCGCCTACGGACCGTCCGACTTCCCCACCCCCACCGCCTGGGAATCGCGCTACCAGCTCGAACGCTCGGCTGCCATCAAGTGCCCCACCATCCTGACTCAACTAGCGGGCATGAAAATAGTGCAACAAGTGCTCGGCACCCCTGAAGGCGTCTCCACCACGCTCTCCGCCCTCCGCTGCTTCGTCCCCAACGATGATGTCGCCTACTCCGTCTTTGGCGCATCTTCACCAACATCTACCCGCTGGACACGACGCTCGCGGTCCAGGCGGCGCGGCGGCTGGCGACCGATCCCGACGCCTGCCAGCGCTACGTCATGAATTTGCAGCGCGAAGGGGGCGGCAACAATTTCTACTGCGGCGCCATCCCGCGCCAGTTGCGCGAGACGCCCGAGGAACGTTGGGCGTCGTATATATTGATGGAGCTGATCACGCCGCCACCGGTGGTGAATACGATTTTGAGGAATGGCGTGCTGGAGCAGGGCGGGGTCATTTGTGATTTTGGGGGTTTATGGGACGTGTTTGTGGGATCAGGGGACCCGGAAAATTGTTGCATAATGAGGAGAGTGGGTATTTGTTGAGGACGAAGGGGGATCAGAGTGAGGAGGGCGGGGTGGCGGCGGCGGTTTGGGTGCATGGATTCGTGTCGGTTGGTGTGAGGTGTTGGGGGCTTGAGGCGGGGATGGGGTGTGGAGGGAGGTGGTAGAGTGGGTGGACGGTTAGAGGTTGCATGGGGGAGTTGTTGGCAGCTTGAAAATGAGATTATAGATCATATGCTTGCTTCCTACCCTGCTTGCTGTAGTGGACAACTTAACTGTCGATTTCAAGAACCCCCTAGGCGGCCAAAATTGACGGCAACACCTCTCGCCCCGAGCCTCCACCGCCCCTTTACAACCCTCCCTTCAACGCCTCCTCCCCGGCCCAACCTCAGGCCAACCCCCGACCGCATCCTCCACCTCCTCCATAAACGTCGCCCTATTGTGCACCGTCGTGCCGCCCAGCACGACCCTAAACCCCGGGCTCGACGCATTGATCCCCGCCACCATCTTGGCCTCCTCATACGTGGTCCCGCCAATGATAAACACCACAACGTCCTGCGGCTTATCCCGGGTGGCGCCGCCGCCCTCGACAAACGGGTACTGGGTCTCACGCAGCTTGCCCTTGGCTAGCTGCTGCAGCGTCGTCTCGAGCAGGGGGGAGTGCTGCGTGTAGACGTTCTCGACGCCCTTGAGGCCCTTGAAGCGCGAGCCGGCGGAGCTGAAGAGCCCCGCGGACTCAAACAGCTCGGTGATACCCGATCCGGAGGAGGCCGACTGCTGCAGCGAGTGGTGGTAAGTGAGGATGTGGCCGACCATGGCGGCCTTGCGGGCCGGGACGCCGCCCGCGGCGGTGAGCAGGTCCGTCAGCATGGGGAGGGCATTGGACGGGTGCTTTGCGTAGCGCAGGGCGTAGAGGGCGACGAGGGAGACTTTGTTTTCTGGGGTGACGGACGGTTTCTGGATCTGCTCTTGGATGCTCTGAGGGGGAGCGGTCAGTACCGTTTGTGCCGCGAGGGGAGGAGGGGAGATGGTCCCGCTCTACTTACCCTGAGGTCGGCTGCGTGGTTGTCGTTGCAAGCCACGCTCTGCTCGACCTCGCTGACTTCCAAGAGGTTATCGATGCCAATCAGCCTGCTGAGCTCGGATACGAGTGTGACGTGTTTGGTGACATTGCCCGAGAGCTTTCTGAATTCGGGATACTCCTCGATAAAACGCTTCATGTCGGCTATTGATTCGATGTCGGCATTATTCTTGGTTTTGACCTGGTATTGCTCGACGTAATCCTTGATGTTGCTCCCCAGATCTCCAAAGTTGAGATACATGTTCTTCTTGAAGAATGGGTCTTGGTCTTGTGAGAGGACAATCTCCTTGAGCTCTGGGCGGATGTCCGGGACCTCGCTGAGATCGACCCGGCCGTTGTTGATCCCAAGTAGCTGATGTACCATGGCCTGGTATGTCCACTGCATGAGCAGGGGTGTGATGGGGTCGTCTCTCCGGTCAAGAACCAAAAGAACGGGGGGTGTATCGACTTTGCGGAAATCGAACAGCTGGTCTTCTTGCGTGATGTAATACCGGACCTCGGAAGCGAGCTTCTTCGCGAGGGGGCTGGTTTTCTGGTACCTAATCAGGGGTTTCTTCTTGAGGCTGAGGAGGACGGCGATGATGCCGTCAGTAGCTCGCTGTAAGGAATCTGTGTTCCACGTGTCTGGGTTGCCGCTCCACAGCCGATGCTTCGGCAATGACATATTGAGCGAGAACAGATCCGGGTTGATGACGGCGTAGTCGAGAAAGTACTCCTGGACTAGCTTGACTACTTCGTGATCATCCGCTTCGGCCAGACGCTCTAGGGTTGACTTCTTGACAACATTGCTGAAGAATAAATGATATTCCCCATATTTGGGCTCTCGCAGCTCATCGATAAGTAGACCGATGGAGTCGGGGTGTGGCCTTACGAAGCACAAACAACGGAGATGGCGCATCTTCTCGCGGTTGGAATTATCGAGGCGGTCCATGAGGTAGACCTCGTGGTTGAGTAGTGCAGACTGGGTAACGGCCATCGAGATAAATGGCAGCGTCTCCCTGTCCAGCAACAAGATCTTCATCTTGGCCGACGGCGCCCCCGTTGCGCTCTCACCGGCCGACACCATCTTGGTGACATAGCCCGTCGATGCTTGCACCACATCCATTGTGAAAATTAGAGTGGTAAAAATACGACAAGACCAATTCCGTCAATGAAACCGTTGGAATCGTGAAGTAGGTCTCCTAACGATTGCTCGAAAAGCGAGGCCACATGTTGTTTTGTATTCAGGGTTGAATAAGCGAGCCTCAAGCCAGTACGCTTCTTAAATGTGTTCTGCGTTGAGAAAGAAAAGCACTTGGTAATAATAGTAGAGCAGTCCCGTCTTCGATGAATGCAAGAGCGAAGCTCACGGGGCTTTCCAGTTGTTGGTGAGTTGACGTTCCCTGCGGCCGCCTTGCCAAGACATCTTACAGGGGTCGCCTGGAGCGTTACCGGGTGCTGGGCGCCTGATAAGATAAGTGAGCTTGTTGTTCTGAGTTCTGTTTCTGGACTACTTTTAGGTCTCTGCTCCACTCCTACAACGTCACCCACCTTCACCAACACCATGCAAACCCGTCGTCAATTCGGTTCATTTCAGGAAATATGGCGCGGGATGTTTGTCCAACGAATTCCGAGCCAACGTGAGTCTAATCCCGCCGAGTTGTTCCTACTCTGCTGCGAGGTTGGGACGTCAATTAAGTCGCAAATTGCTAACGATGGGTTTACAGGCTCTCCTTCACCCAGGGCTTCATTCTCGGCCAGATATCCGTAGTACTTCTGATCGCCGCCTTTATCAAATTCTTCATCTTTGGCGATCCCCCCTCGCCCGAAATTACCGCATCGATCCGCGCCGCTGAGCGTCGTTCACGAACACTTGCTCACAAGAGGTCGCTCTTGAGCCTAAGGGAGTCCAGCACCCGACGAGCAGGCCAGCAACCCACCCTTAATAGGAAAAAATCCAGCATTCTGCGCCCGAGCCCCCCGCCTTTGACCATCGGTTCCATCCTCGACAAGACATACTACAAGGTGGACAGTCATCAGCCGGAGAGCTTGGATTGGTTCAATGTGTTGGTGGCTCAGACAATTGCACAATTCCGTAGCGACGCCCAGCATGACGACGCAATCCTCACCTCGCTCACGAAGGCGCTCAATGGGACCTCACGCCCAGACTTTGTCGATGAGATCCGTGTTACCGAGCTGAGCCTGGGCGAGGACTTTCCCATATTCAGCAACTGCCGCATCATCCCCGTAGACGAGGATGGCCTCAACCTCCAGTCAGGTAAAGGCCTTTGAC